TGTGAAACAGGCATGGAAGCCACACTATGGCCTACAGCGAAGGCTGTAACTTTGTCAAAACACATCAGATTCTTGAGCGGAATATCTTAATCGATTTATAGATCGATTCTCTATTAATATGCATCAAAACTTGGTGGCAAAATATTTTTCAGATATTTTGTCCAATTTTGTGGGGGATCCCCTTCAAAATGTGAAAAATGCATGGAAGCCACACTATGGCCTACAGCGAAGGCTGTATCTTTGTCAAAACACATCAGATTCTTGAGCGGAATATCTTAATCGATTTGTAGATCGATTCTCTATTAATCTGCATCAAAACCTGGTGGCAAAATATTTTTCAGATTTTTTGTCCAATTTTTTGGGGGATCCCCTTCAAAATGTGAAAAATGCATGGAAGCCACACTATGGCCTACAGCGAAGGCTGTATCTTTGTCAAAACACATCAGATTTTTGAGCGGAATATCTTAATCGATTTATAGATCGATTCTCTATTAATCTGCATCAAAACTTGGTGGCAAAATATTTTTCAGATTTTTTGGCCAATTTTGTGGGGGATCCCTTTCAAAATGTGAAAAATGCATGGAAGCCACACTATGGCCTACAGCAAAGGTTGTATCTTTGTCAAAACACATCAGATTCTTGAGCGGAATATCTTAATCGATTTGTAGATCGATTCTCTATTAATCTGCATCAAAACCTGGTGGCAAAATATTTTTCAGATTTTTTTTCCAATTTTGTGGAGGATCCCCTTCAAAATGTGAAACAGGCATGAAAGCCACACTATGGCCTATAGCGAAGGCTGTACTTTTGTCAAAACACATCAGATTCTTGAGCGAAATACCTTATTTGTTGTTTGACTTTGTGTATCGATTTTTTTTTGTATCAATTTCTACCAAAAGGAACTTATATGGTTAGTTTTAATTATATATGAATAAAATTTGGTCTTTAATTTTTCTTTAAATCCAACACTTGTGTAACGGAATACCTGACTTCTGAAGGAATCCAAACCCTTTATTGCCGTTACTTCGATAAAGCAAAACACGTGTGAATTCCATTAGCCCTCTCCCACTGACTTCACCGCCATTTTCCGTGTGTGAAACCCAAGTAGCGGTGACATAAATAAGAAAGCTTGGGTAACGGTAGATATGCATATTGGAATACGTACCATACATGTGTGTGTTTTAATGTGCCAAGGTGTGTTTTTATTTCGATTTGGGGTAGATAAGCAATCACTCAAATTTGATAAGTTACCATTTCTGAAGTGGAAGTAAAATAGAGAATTTCGAATTGAGCTGCCAAAAATTTAAATGAAAAATCTACAAAATAAATCAACGTAATTGCCAGGAAAACCAATTGAAAGCTATCGATTATTTGTACAAATATTTCCATATATTGCAGTGCAACCGGAAACGTTATGTTTTTATTGTGAAAAGACCGCCTTTTATTTTTCATTGGCTGAGAATATGAGAAAACAAAGAAAATCAACCAAGCAATTGAAGCCAGAAAAAAACAACGTAAAGTGGTTTAACCGCTCTCTCACATAGATACACACTACTGCATCTAATCGCACCCATACAATGGCAATCCGAGATCGTCGTCGGCGAATGGAAAACGTCGTCGACCGATGGTCAGTGAACGCGAATAAAAAAAGGTGAGAAGCCATAAAGCATCTGGCAAGTGTCACAGTGTGGGTGACGCGTGTATGTAAATGATCTCAGTGAGACTGAGATACAGATACAAATAGTACACTGTAGAAATAGTTTTACATTTAAATATTATTTGGTTAAGATTGTATAATATTATATTTAGATACGTTTTTTACATTATATGTCACTCTTTATTTAAATATTTTATTCAAACATATCTATAAATTTCAAATATTTACGTACTATGTACATGTATGTATGTACCTTCCTGTACAATGTCAAGGAAAAATATTCTTCATCCTTTTTAATCGTTTAGTTATCTCAACCTCAGAAGAGTCCAATCTTTCTAGCCCTCTAACTAATAACTCAATTGTTAACAAAACTATAGCAAAACAGGAATATCTTAAAAAATAGAAAAAAAATATTATTAACTAAAGAAAGTTAAAGTGGTATATTTTTATAGTAGTGTGTTGTACATTTTTGCTTATTTCCTGAGTTCCAGGCCTGGCTTTTGTTTACAAAATATTTCCGCAACACATGTCGCACGGCTGGGGGCTGGTTTTTCTGCTTCTTCCGATTCTTCCGCCCCACGCCCACGCCCACATCCTCGCCCCTCGTTATATCTTCTAACGCAGAAGCTACGAACGCGCCATTTGGTTTCGTTTAGTGCTGACGCCGCTGCCTCGGTCGACGTCGATGCCGGCTTTAGCTTGTCGGCGGCTTAGATCAAATAATGCGATTTCATGCCAAGTCGCAAATTGTCAAGCAGTCTGCGCATCCGCTGCTCCGCCACCCCATGGCGCCCCTCCTGCCATCTCTGTTTTATGACCAACCCCGTCGCAACATTTCGCATCTTTCAGATGCAGTTCGACCTTTCTCAGATGTGTGCTCCAATTTGATTATGAAACCGAAAGAAAAAAATATAAAAATCTTAAGAAGGAAAAAAATTTTAATTCGCCTTTGAGTGCGCCAGTTTTTATACTATCAAGAAATATTTTTAATTAATTCAAAATATTTTTTTGCACATTTTTCGCCCGAGGCGAGCATTTGGTTTATCAACAAGTTGCTTGCTTAGCTTTGAAGTCCGCCGGCCCAGAAAAATGTTGAAAAGAGCGAAGAGCATGGGATGAGGGAGTGGGAGGGGCTGGAATCAACTTGTTAGATGCTCGGCCATTAAATTTCCTAGACGCGAATCAATTTTCCAGTTGCTGCAGTTCAGCGAACTGAAGTCAAAGTCGACTGCAGCAGCAGCAGCTCTGTCGACTTTTCAGTCCCCAGTGGGGCACTTTTTTTCTTCATTTTTCTGTTTTATTTTTTTTATGAAGAATCGTATAATTTTCATTTTGATGCCTTTTATGACACTTCCAAAAAATAAAAAAAAACGGTCGATGCTTTGACGTCGAATTCGATTTGCTCCCCTTCGTCTTCCCAACTTCGCATAAAAGTATCTCAAAATGGACTAGGTATTTATGATTTCGTTTATGCATTTTTCTGTTTTATTGTTTAATTTTTGTTACTTCGATTGGTTCGAGCTCTTCCACGTTCCCGACGAAGCCGGCGGCGTTTGAAAAAAAGTTAATTGAGTTGTAAAAATTATAAAGTTGTAAAAAATCCCCCCCGATCAAAATAAAAAAAAAAATCCGAGTATCATACGCCGGGTAAAAGTTATGCGCTGGATGCAGATAAATCGATACTTGGTTTCCTACCATAACTTCCAGTTAAAACCAGCTGGAAAACAAAAGCGTAACCAAACTACACTTCTTCGATGTTTTACGATCGTGAAATGAATAGACACCAGTTCTCTACTTCTTCCAAAAATCATTTCTTTTCGAATCGTGCGGCCGGGGAGGGGTATATTTTCGGGGGATTTTACGATTCCCGATCGGGTTGGGCCTGAGGTAAAAACTAGTGCAAAGTGGCTATAGTCAGTTCACCTGATCTCGGCTTCTATTTATGCTTCAAAATTTAAAAGATCCATCATTAAAAAATGTATAAATTACATTTTGCTCTGTCAGAATACTCTTAATCTCATACCATTTCCATTTTACTTATACATTTGGATTCATATTGTTTTAGTAACATTTAACATAGGCTTTCTTCCTTATATTATACCAGCTAAGATCTTAAGCCTCCTCATATTAAATGGTTATCCCTAAAATAAATAGAAAATTAGAATATTTATTGCTTGATATCGGAAGTCCTCAAATATTTACATTCTTAACCATGGGAACCTATCGATCATGTCCTACTCCTTTTCATTTTAAGGCCATTCACCGTGTAACCCTTAAGTCCTTAATGATCTTATCGATGTCTCATTAGCTGTCGTAACTCCCTCAACTCTTTACCGTCCATTCAGGTCTCCGATCCTTTCCCATCCCCCTGTGTACATATCCTCCATATCCAACGGCAGCTGCAACAAGTGGCAGGTCTCTAACGTCCTACTGAGCACCCTTAACCCGGGGATTCGGGGGAGGTGTCATAAATCCACATGTGGTTGTAAAGTGTTACTAATTTCTGTTTCTGTTTCCATTTCGATTTATGTCTCTCTGCCTGTTTTCATCTCTGGTGTATGTGAGCCGACTCATTTTGATACCCTGGAATATTAAGTGGGTCGACTTATAGAACGAGATAAATCGGACTAAACTAAACTAAAGGGTTTCCTAATATATTATATAGGGTGAAAGCCCACAATAAATATGATTATAGTTACTATTATTGTTATTCTAATTAATGCCATATAATTATTAATAAAATGCTTTTGTAAAATTTGATTATTATTTATTAAAGTTTGATATTAAAGTTTGTAGCTTAATCAGCTTTTATTTATAGGGTATAGTTGAATTCTATGACTTAATTCAATAATGCGCGCTCATTTGTCGGCGACAGTCATCACCCCCATCGGATCTTCGATTCTGCTCTGGGGCCACCTATTTTAATTTCACATGAACATGTTAATGTTTACACGCGTACCGCGATTTTTATGTTCGCTTCCTCCCTCGCCCAGCACCAGATACTCCGTGCCTCAACAATATCCCCCTGGCCACGATCCGGCTAACGATCCAGCCAACCACCGTCTTGAGCTTATCGCCACGAGCGTCCGGCGATCCGACGACTCCCGAGCTCGTCTTTGGGGCAGCCAACAGCTGCTCGGGCCGAGCAATCCCCAAGATCAGTCGCAGTTTGCTCGTCAACCTCGTCGTGTCTCGGCTTTAACGGTAAAATTCGTAAACCCAATCGATCCCGAGACTTACGTGGGTTTAACTGGAAGATCGGATCCAGATTTGAGAAACTTTTTCGTGGATATTTGTTGACGGTGCTTAAAGTTAAGGATTAAAGTTTAACCTTAAGGATTTGCAAAAGTTAAAAAAATGAGTGGAAATACGAGTTCCGGTGGTCCCAAGGATCGGGCCAAGCCGGTGGAGACTCTGGTTTTAGCCAATTACGCTCTTAAAGCCGAACAGAAACGGGCCCAAGGACAAGGTGGGCGGAAAGAAGATGAACGCATCACGAGTGCTGTTATGAAGGTTCTCGAAGGATACGACTGGAATCTTGTCCAGGCTTCGGCTAAGTAAGTATTTATATTGTAGGGGAGATTAATATTAAAACATCAGGAGACAATATCTAATTTTCGCCCATTTTTTTATTGGGGAGTTTTTCTTAAACTGTATTAATTTGAGGGGCTTTTTGAACTTATCTTAGTTCAATTGTTTAAAAATTAACATACGCAAAAAAAACATAAAGGTGTGGTAGAATCTATCAGATTTTTTTTAACTACCACTGAACTACCCAGAAAACAGTACTACAAAAGTTTTCAGACTTTTAAGAAAAAAAAAGATCTAATAAATCTTTTCAAAAATTTAGTCTAAATAAAAGACATATTTGTGGGTAAGGATGTATGGATATATTTCGAATAAATGAAACTTTAATAGGCAGAAAAAATATTTAAAAGAGGACCTTAGCGCCTTCTAAACGGGGTCTATAGGCCGCAATTGTAAAATCCTGAATGACTAAGCCTGTCGCATGGATTGAAGCTCAACCTTTGCCTTGCCCACTTCGATGGGTTCGCTGATTAACACAATTTCCAGCGTTTATTTGTAGTGTACATATATGGGGGTTTTCTTTTATTTAACTGGGTAAACAAAGTTGGCGAACCGCAAAGGGAAAAGGGGGCCAACACAATATTGGTGGGAGGAAAGCGAACGAAACGATTGGGAATCTGTCGGCATATGTAAATATAAATGAATTTACACATTCACACATATTAGACAAACAAACAACGGTGAGCATATACATATATATGGATGTATACATATATAAAGCTGCTGCTGTTACCAACAAATTGGCCAAAGGCAGAAATAATAGAAAAAGGCAATAACAAGACGCCAGATACAAAATACAGGCCTCAATAAATGTGTGCCAGCGAGGAACAAAATGTTCGAGATGAAGACGCCGACGACAAATCAATTCAGGCATAAAAAGCGAATAAATATGTTTTTAGCGTTAAGATGCTAACTGCTAACAAGGTGGGGGTGGGGGATACGGGGGCTTAGCCGGTGGAGGGGTAAACCACAAGCTCCACAAGATCTCAATCCAAGCGAACCGGGCTGACACTTGACTATGTCGACCGTGCTTGCCCCCCCTGTATTTTGGACCACTGGGAGTCGTGAGAAAGACACGAGTGCCGGTAGTCGGCTGATCCCTCTGATCCCGCGGGATCGTTCACATCCCAGCTAGTGGATCCTTGGGAGCCCGGCGTTCCAGAGCTCTTGGCAGCTGTTTGTCCGGCAATTAGCAAATACTAGGGGACTTCCACCTCCGGTCTTCCAGACTGGGTACCGGCCTTATCTGCGTTTGTCAGTCGCCTCCGCGACACGCTTTGTTTTGCCACAGTTGCTGTTGCTTATCGGTGGGTTTGGAGGCACTGAAAATAATTCAATTATTATAAATTATATTAAAATTTTTTGCATATAATATGAGTTATTGGTTCTATTGGATCCAGATCTATAAACTCCTGCGTGCTTTTGATTGATAAATGGTATATATTTTGTGTTCTCTATTTGAAGCTTTTTATTAATTGTATTTCCCTTAGTGTATTGAAGTGGGGACTATTCTTAGCTGTTCAGGGACAAACATCCTTCGGCTAGCTTGGACCGCCTTCTACTGACAGACCCCTATCACCTACCCGTCTGTCTTGCCGGCCCCCTCGACAACCATGGCTGTTGCTCATTGCAAAATGCGCAGAAAGCGCTGTCAAGAGCACGTGTGTGTTTGCACAAGGATATGAGCGCCATTTCCTTTCCTTTATCTATCCACAGTCGTGTCCCCACCTCCAATACACTATTTTCTCCCTGCCTTCCCCTCGCACTAGAAATTGTTTACCTTGCGCTTTATGAGCCTTGTTTATTTCCACTTAAAATCGCTTAAATGCACATCGCTGGCCCCCTTTTCCGCTCACAGTTACGACGGCCAAGTCCCCCTGTCACCTTCCAAATTAAATCCTGCAAATGGGGAAAAAATATAGTTACCGTGAGTGGGAGATACATTTAATTGCTTTACTCTTCTCATTGATTGACAGCAGCAATTGATGCGAAATTGTTTTCCTATACTGTTTTTTATTGCCAATGGGGAATCCATGGGGACATCTGTGGACATTTTATTTTTACCTGCTAGCTTAAAGCTGAAATAATTTCATTTTCTCTCGTTTATAAAAATATATTGTGATTTTATGATGTTAAAAATGAATAAACATTTATGAATGTGTGTTACATTTTTAAAGCTTATATATATCAAGACCCACCTATACTTAGATAGAACGTAAAATATTTTATTGCTATTTGATGTTCTTAAATAATTTTCGCATGAATCACTTATACCAAAGGAAATATACTTGGAAATAAATAAAAAATACGAAGAAGCCACTTGAAGCGTTATTACGACTGGCGTCGTACCAAACAAATATAAGGGAATATATATATAGATATGTAAGGTTTGGTTATTAAATAATACACATGCATGATGAAGGAACCCCTTCCAGCTAATAGCTCTGGAACTTATGCGCCCTGCTCTATTTGCTCGACTCGATTAGATATGAAGTTTATTAAGGAGGAGGAACTGGAACTTCGGGTAGGACTTTGGCGACGCGTCGCTAACATTATAAATATATATCTTGGCTTATCTTGGCTTGTCCGTTCCGAGGTGTTATCACACACCCCACAAGGGGCCACCACCAGGTGGGGTGCTCGGTTCCCAGCCCTGATATCATCCGATGCGATCCCAGTAGACAGAATAGTTCGTCGACGAGTCAATTTACATGGCCCCAACAAGTCATCTCGGCCAGCCTAACCAAACACAACGTTTTCTATACCATGAGAGTAAAGGTAGATCCTCCCCCATGCGACGGGGTCCACCGCAGAAACATATCAACTGGGGGACAGTGGGGCGAATACTACTTGTTTTATATGGGCGTTACTAAATAAAGTTTATCGTTTTTGGTTTAACACTGCCTCCGAATATCTATTTTTTTTAAATCAGTCTAGAATATAGTTCATTTAAAAAACTATTTAAAACTGTATGCCGCACCCACAGTTCTGGTGTTTTTCTGGTGCTGACAAAGCCGGCAAACATGTTCCTAGCTGTTGCTCCACCTCATGTTGGCATCCACCACCGTCCAATACCCTCCATTGTCCTGCCACTTTTCCTACCATTTTTCGAAATCCGCCCGCAAGAGCAGCAACCTCAGCTCCTGGTGGCCGGCAAAAGTTTGTGCAGCGGCAACAACAACAAGTACAGAGATACACGTGCGGCTTACAAGGCAAATATTGATTTTGTTGTTGCCGCCAATGCTGCTGATGCCGCTTCGTTCCTCTTCTTGTTTTTGTTGCCTCTGTGAGGGTGTCGTTGCGGTGGCCATAACCACAAGTGTTGGCCAAAAAGTTTTCAGCCTAGACTCTTGCTTTGCATACTTTACGTTTTGGGGGAGCTTTGTAGCGCTGCCTGTAGCCTGGAATTTACAAAAACATCCTCTTTCTGTTCTGGTCCCCCCGAGGTGTTGTAGACATTTTGTAGTCCCCCATTTTGTGTTTTGTAATCGATGGCATCAAATTTTATGACCAGGTAAGCGTGACAATGGCCAAAAAAGTATCAGACACTAAATTCGTCTGAGCTAAGACGGTGCTACGTTGTGAGCTAAAGCTAAAGCCAAAGCCAACGAGGCTCAAAGGGATTCGGCGATTAAATCCACCAGTTGAGAAGGGAGCTTCGACGTTTTTTTTTTATATTTTGGTGGTTACTTTGCAAAAGGATTCACATTTTTGGCAGGAAATGATGTTGACAAAGTTATGACAACTGTCATGTATAGAGATGAATATGTCCGGGAATTATATATGCTTTTTATAATAAATTAATATTGTATTTTATACGGTTACGGTTCAGTGGTAGTGCCCACGCTGCGAATGAGTAATATTTGTTTAACTGAAATACAAATCAAAGGGTATACCAAACTTTAGTTAACGTAACATTTTTTTTTGTCCTTTCTGGCAAATATTAAACAACGTTTGCACCATGAAATTGAAGGCACAGTTGAGCCGGCCATAAGCTTTTACCAAAAAGTACATTTCTGGTTAAATCCGCTCGACGTGCCGCTTAAAAAAGGGTTCAATAGCTCGGTTCAGTTTAGTTCAGCGGTTGTGCCTCCACCCACGGATTTTATTGACATAGAGAATCCTGTGGCAGGGCCGCAGCTCCCATGGAAGAAGACACCCACGCGATTATTCCTCGGTTTCCGCCGTCCCTCCGTTCAGAAATGTTCAACGGATTCGGACGGAAAATCGCCAGCGGGTAAATAGGTGTGGCAGAGTGGGCGAGTTTTTCATTTTTGTGAGTTACCAAAAATTCTCGCAGCTTAGTATATCGATTACACTAACAAACAGGCAAATACTTTCTAACGAAAACTAATAAACAAATTTTTATTAATGTCTCGTTTTGCATTATAAAGCATGAATCATGCCAAGAGTTGTATAAAAATGTGTTTGGTTCTCAGTGATTTAATATTTAAATAAGTCTTTAAGCTTAGGGTTATAAATGAGTCATCGAGGTGGAATAAGTTTAGCTTGAAATCTGATATTCATCATTTGATTACAAGTATAAAAGTGTTTCTTTAGAAGAGGTCTTTAAGATTTAAATTCTGGTAAGTTATTCTTAAACAGAAACATACAAAAATCCTATTCCGGCTGATTGGTGTAAGTTTTGGCCAGAGCTTGATTCAGGGCCACCGAATGACAATCATCAAATGTCAGGGACACATATCCAGCTGACATCGCATAGCATTGATTGTACGTTGTTGTCGGAACAGAGAGCTGCCGTATAACCGCCAGGCCGTAGGCCAGAATGATGCAGGGCTCTACAGTGCTCAGCTCTTCTACGCCACTTAAACTGTCGCTCTTCATTGCGTGCCCCTTCATTGGCACGCCCCTTTTGCCTATGCCGCCCAAACGGTTGACGCCTATCGAGTTCCTCCTCGTCCTGGCCTGGTCAAGGGACAAAGGCACTGGGAATACGTGTCCTTTTTGGGGTCGGGTGTACTGCACCCGATCGCCCACTCCTCCCCTGACACTTGGCTCAAGTGCGGCACGGTCGCTGTAAAAATAAATTGACTTGGAAATTGAAAAAAACAAGAAAATGAAAATGTTAGTGGAACTGGAAGTGGGAAGTGGAAGTGGGAAATGGATGTGGATGCCGATGTGGAGGGGCATCGCCAAATGAAATGATAACAGAGAATGGGCTCCGGATGAAGTGGCAGAAAGGCAGGCAGTGGCCGACGAGTTGGCAAAGAGGCGGCTTAAATCGAAAGGGAAAGCTTAAAAAGCGAATCGGGCCAACAATGAGTGGCCCATGATTCTGAAGAGGTCGCCATGTGCGGGTACTTCATGGGCTTCTCTGATAAGTTACCAATAGGTTTCTTCATTCCCATTGATCCCTGACCAAAGCTAAGTAGTCAGGCCGAGATGTTTATCTTGTTACCAAAACCCACCAAAGTTAAATAAGAGTGACACTGAGGAAAATAAATGGGTAACAAAAAGGTCTCTTGTCTAGAGGCTGTAACTGACCTTTATTAGTAATATATTGAGGATTGCTCACATTTGTAACTATTTCGAAGCAATTTTGGAGGGCACTTGATAAACAATAACAAGTAAAAGCTGTACAAACTCAGATGCAACTCTCACGGTAGCAGAGCCCCCTGGAGTGGCTATGATTACATTTTCCAAAATACTACTGCCACCTTATCTCCTTATCAGGAAGGTCGCCCCACCTTTTTCCAAGATATTTAACCACCTTTTCGTCCGAAACTTGAAAGTAGAAAGGCCAGCAAGCCGCAGAACAAATATATGTATACTGCATCCGTTGGATGCGCTCTTCAATGTATCTCAAATGGCAAGGCAGCAGTCGAGGAAACGAAAACAAAATGTGTTTGACAAAAGTATCGTAAAAGCGGCAGCGGCAGTTGCTAGTTGGTAGTTGGTAGTGCGTGGGAAAATGTGGGCACTGCCTAAGCAAATAAGACATAAAATGGAAAACACAACGAACTGCGGCGGCTGCAATTTGTTTACCCGGCACAGTATCTGTTAGATACATTTCATATTTTTGAACTTGTGAAAATCGGTGAGACGTCCCGGCTGCTAATTAGGCGCATTTGTCCCCAACTTGACATGCGCTTACGAATTGGAAATGAAAATGGGCGTTAAAAATGGAAATTTTTCGTTTACAACTTTGTATGTGTTAAAGCTGTAAATATTTGGGGATCCAAATGCCGACAACCCAACCCTCCTCCTCTTAAATCCAATTTAATAACAAAAGCGCCAAATGGTCCATTGCTGATAAAAGATGCGCAACAAAAGCCAAAGTATCTTTGTATCTTTGGCACATGAGCAAAAAAATAAAAAAAAATACAAAAATGGAAAGCTACAAATTCAAAAATTCCTGGCAGACTCGCCGCTCGTTTCTCATATTTGCTCATGAGCTAACGGCCACTTGAAGATATCACTTAATGAGATTTGCGCATCTCCGAGTGCAACCAGAGCGGCAACAACAGCAACAACAACAACAAATAATGAAGACGTGCTTGAATTGCCAAGTGCCCCGAGTGTACACTCTGGGGGCAAGATGCAAGTGGCGAGGATGAGGGTGAGGGTGCACCACCTCCTGCGTCAGAGATGTGAATGCAGCAAAACGAACATCACTTGATTCTGATTAGCGTGCTGTCAAGCGTGAGACTTGCATGTAAATCGCAGGAGGAGGATGCTGCTACAAGAGGATCGCGGGGCAAGACTGTGGAAAGACGCCGACGATACCAAGGGGCAGATAACGGCCGAGTCGCCAAGTCGCTGAGCATCTCCGAGCCGCCATTTGGCCTCCGGTTGCGGCTTTAATCGCTTAATAAGCTCGGCCATACTCGTAATTAAGTCCAGGCGAAAACCGGCTGACAAAATCATTTAAACGGTTTTCCAAATCCACCAAATTCAAATACTACAACACAGAGAACAAACTATTTATTAATTAGAATTAGTATTAATTTATGAGAGAGTGCCGTAGAATGTTGCTGTGGCACGCCTTATGTCGTAGGCACGCCATATTGTCTGCAACTTATAATCTCCCCCGGGAAATGGAAGAACTCTAGTTCCTTGGTCTGTTACCAAACTAATTGGAATTTTGGCTTCAAGATCGTGCTGAAAATAATCAAGTATTTTAAATAATTAAAACCACTTAAATTAAAACTAATATAAAAAAGTACATACGTCAAAAGGACACGGATGATTCATGTTTGAAGTATTCCTTAAGAAATCATAGAAAAACTTGATAACAAGATTTGATTGGATGGGATTACGGTTGCTCAAAAAACGACAGGCATCAAATGTTACATTATACATGAAAGGTCGATACCCATTGAAGCGCTTATATAGTGCCACATTTACCTAGAAAAATCGTTCATTATTAATATAATGATTTTGGAACATAAACTTACCTTAACTTTGGTAACTGGAGTTTGGTACAACTTCACTTTTACATGAGCAAATTTGTATGTACGATTTACAGACTTCAGTTGACAAGATTCGAATTCAGAAAACTTGGTATCCTCACTTGTACACTTTATGTTAGTATATTCAAAATGGGATGTGATCTAGAGTAACAGTTGATAAGTTATATGATACCGTATTGTTCACATTTTCTTACTTCCTGGAGCAGATATAGAAACATAACTATTTGAAATAGATACATTCTGTAGCAAATTTTTCTTGACTGAATAATATTTTCAACTATTCTGGATAGGTATGCCACTAAAAATGTTGTGCAATAAAAATTAGAAACCAATTTTTCGCTAGAAGACTTTAGTTAATTGACATCTGATTGGAGAATCGGAAATAATGTTTAAAACTGTTTGTGATCATATAATAGTAAATCAGTACAATTACCTAGAAATTCGTTTATAATTAATATAATGATTTTGAAACATAAACTCACGTTTTTTTGGTATCTGGTGTTTAATACAAATTCACTTTTACATTAGAAAGTTTGTAGGTACGATTTACAGACTTTTATTGATCATAGTCGAATTCAGCAAAACTTCTTATCCTCACGTAGGCACTTAGAATACTGAAAATGTTATGTAATATGGAATATTCATTAACAATAGAAATGATACCGTATTATACCCCTTTTCTAACCTCCTGGACCTGATAGGAACGTCAGCTTGGGGAACATCTTTCTTTCCCTGAATATAAAAATGAACTGTTCTGGTTAAGTAAGCCGCTAAGGGTTATGATTGCATTTGTTTTGGGAATAAATTTTCCGCTAGAAAATTTATGACATTATTTAAGCTATAATTGGGGAATTAAAAAAAAAATATTAATAAAAAAAAATGGAAATATTTTTTACCGAAAATACTAAGTTTTAAACCATTTTTCCGCTAGAACATTTAAAAATAATTGATCTATTAGTTTAAAAAATAATTGTTGGTGCTATTAGCTAGATTTAAAGACTGGTATATTTTTTCATTTGAATTTAAAGAATCCTTTGAATCAAATGGTGACAAATTTCAATTTTTATTGGAGAGCACTTTAGTGCCTAGAAAATGTATTGCTTTTATTTTAATTTGTGTAAATATCTCCTGAGCTTGCTTTCAATTTGAGTGCACGGAGTTGGGTAACTCGGGACACCTGAGAACACCTGTTTATTGATTGGGTCTGATTGACAACAGTTTCTACCATTTTTCCTGTGCTGAGTTGGACTTTTTGCGGCAGGCATAGAATGCAGTCAGGCATGTCAAATAAACTCATCCACTGAGGCATTAGCACTCACACTACATAGGGTACAAGGACTACAAGGACACACACAACTCAATTGAAAGATTTACCTAACAAATCTCTGCTCTGATCATGTTTGCTTAGGATAAATAATTCAATATACAACGTGGCTTCGAAAAAGGTGGGCAGCCCAGAGGGTGCCATATAAGATGCCATCCAAGCTACCCCTCCTGGCGCCTGGAACGCCTATCTCTTTGATTGAATCTCTGTCTTCATTGTATTCCTAGGTGCTCCGACATGCCAAATAAAAATGAATATACAGATAAAAACAATGTTGTGGGTGTCCTCATGATGGAGCAGTTACACTGGAGATAAATTCTATGAAAATGTATGGATAAGTTGGAAAGGTTACTAGGAAAGTAATTTTTATTGGTCGAATATTTTGTTGAATTTCTTTCAGTGAGAGTAGATTTTAATTTGCTTTTCAGATATTTGCTTTTTTGCCACAATGCGGGACTGATGTTACCTTTCGCCTCTGTTTTATTGAAACGAGCTCGAATCGTTTTTGTCAATTGAATTATTTGGAAAAGGAGTGGAACGAAATAGTAGTCCTTTCGCTTTATTGAAAAGTCAGGGGTTCTTTGGCAAGCACTCTAAGGATTCCCACTGTTGTTTGCAGTTGTCTAAATCGAGACATTTTTGTTTTTTTTTTATGAATTGGGAAGCCAGGTTTGAGAAATACTATTCTGTGAGAATTTATCACGAATTTTCGGATTGCTCGGACTGCTCACTCTGCAATCGCTTCAAAAGAAAAAAGTTTATTTTTGACTGCACTCTTGAACTTTTCTGGTCGCCGGCCTTGATTCCATTCCTCACTTTGCCCTCCTATTTACCACTATTTTATTTGCCGTCGGGCAAATAAAAGTTTTAATTGCAATTTTCAGTTTGTCATTATTCCTTGTTGTTGTTGTTCTGGGGAGGAAAAGTGTTTTCCGTGGACGTCTTTTTGCAATTAACTTGGTACTTATTTTCCCGACCAACAAGTCAGAGCTGCAATACTTATTACGTACAAAGAAATTTTTTTAGAATCCTTTCTGTTCACTCCTTTCAATGGCATCCTTTTGATAAAATATACATTTTATTAATTTATTAATTTTCTTTGCAGGGCACCCACGGATAGAAAAAAGGAGCACATCAAGCGCCCCATGAACGCCTTCATGGTCTGGGCTCAGGCTGCCAGAAGGGTCATGTCCAAGCAATATCCACATCTTCAGAACTCAGAGCTAAGCAAATCATTGGGCAAGCTGTGGAAGTAAGTGTACCCTGTATACATACACCTCTCCAGATGTCCAGAGATCCAAAGAAAATAAGAAAACATGTATATATAGAAGCGCCATGGAAGCACGTCTCTGACAGCATAAACGCCGGGGCATGCACCACTTGGGAAGTGTCTTTTATAAGCTCCACTTCTCGGACAGACAAAGAAGCTTCAAGGGGGCAAAAGTGGGATCCAGTGGGGGGCTTCTTCTCAAAGTTTAGAAAAGGGCCTTGAAAGGAAACAGTCTATTGCATTAAAAAGTCTGGTGAAGGAATTAAAAAGGAAAAGTCATAGTAAATTAAAATAAACAAAACGCGGTAAAGTAGAAATCTACGACTCTATAAAGTCTTGTAAAGTACCAAGTCTGACCTATTGGAACCAAGTCTAGACCCGATTCACAGAAATGACTCAAAATATATGTGGCATTTCCGATTGCGTGAATCACAAACTTGCCGCAAATGTCGCGTCCCTGATTAATGTCAAGATGTCAGGCCAAAGGCCATATTTGCCAGATCGGCATCGTTTTCATACATATATGTTCAATATGTATGTATATTGTTTGTAATAAAATATTGCCGGGCTTGAAATTAAAATTTCACAGTTCAGCGCGATGGGCGATAAGAAGTGTAGTCTTCGGCTGATAAGAAAGTGTAGAATCCGATTCGACTAATTGGGATTGCAAGGCGAACCAATTTGTGGATCCATAAATACATTCCAATTAAACAGGCTGGCAGTGATATATTTTTTCCATTGAAGTTTTCAAAGAGAGATTTTTTAAGATCTCATTAAAATAGAATATTTAAGCCCAATATTAATAGAAATTAAAGTCACTTATTTATTGCATTTTGCAGAAATCTTAAGGACAGCGACAAGAAGCCCTTTATGGAGTTTGCCGAAAAACTTCGAATGACCCACAAGCAGGAGCATCCTGACTACAAGTACCAGCCGAGGCGTAAAAAGGCCCGGGCAATGCCACCGCAGCAGCAGACAAGAGGCGAGGCAGCGGGTAGTCCTACTCCGGATTTAGTTTCCGCAACTGCGACCACAACTTCGCGGCAGAAAAGCTCCAATTCGGCCACAACAAACGGCCTGAGGCGCGGTGGCAAGTCGACGGCACCCAGTCTGGGCATCATCTGCCCTACCAGCTCCAGCTCTAGCTCTAACGCCACCAGCGGCTCCGATGTCTTCAGTAATGAGGCCTTCATGAAGTCCCTGAATAGTGCCTGTGCGGCCAGCCTGATGGAGCAGGGACTGAGCTTGGGCAGTGAGCCCGGCATGGACTCGCCCTGTTCCACGACCAGCTCCCTGTCCTCGCTAACGCCGCCTGCCACACCGTACAGTGGGGCCTCCTCGAGCGCGAAATCAGCTCCAGCCATCAATAACCCGAGTCTCCTGCTTAGGCAGCTTAGCGATCCGGTTGCAAATGCTGGCCACGATTACGGAGTCTTGCTGGAGGCTGGACGAGAGTACGTGGCCCTGGGTGAGGTCAATTACCAGGGAGGCGGGTCAGGCGGAGGCCAGGGGGGTCAGGAAATGGATTTCCTGGAGAACATTAACGGTTATGGCGGCGGATATGCCGGCGGTCGGGTGAATTACCCGGGTTATTCCTCCTATACTGCAACTGGCGGCAACTTTGGACCGGAGTCGCAGCAGCAACCTCCACAGCAGCAGCAGCAGCAGGCGGCGTCACAGGCCAGTGGAGCCTTAAATTACAAGCCAGCCACTGACATCGATCCCAAGGAAATTGACCAGTATCTCATGGATCAAATGTTGCCCATGACGCATCACCACCACCTCCCCCATCATCAGCAACCGTCGCTGCACCACTCGCCGCCTTTGAACTCATCCGCCTCCCTGTCCTCGGCCTGCTCCAGTGCCAGCTCCCAGCCGGTGGTGGAGTACGCTGCCTACTGCGACCACTTGGGTTATCCCTCTGCCAATCAAAACTCAAACTTTGGCCCCCAGCAGCCCTCCCCCTACATTCCGCTGCCGCCCGTCTCCTTGGGGGTCCCCTCGCCGCAGGACCATCAGCAGCAACAGCAGCAGCAGGATATGCAATCCCAACAGCAGGACCAGCAACAGCAGCATCAGAATCCATCGCAGCATCATCTGTGGGGCACTTACACTTATGTCAATCCCTAAGCTACTTAATTTGCACATTTGTTGGCCAGCACGGAGAGAAAAAAGGGGGCTCATCTTGGCTAAAGTCAGGATATGTCCGATATGATGAAGATGTAACTTCAACAGAAGAATGGATGTCTTTTAAGCTTTGTATGGTATATTATATAAATTATTGCAACTATAATAATATAGACGATAGTTTTTTCTCATTCTTTGAGGCTTAAAAATAATTGTTCATCTAATTTTCATCTCCGAGGAGAAACTTTGAGGTTAAGATTCAAATACAAAATAATAAAAGGTCAGTAAAGTACTCTACATTTTTAAGGATCGTTTAGAAAGGATAAATGTACATGATAAATTTTGTTGATAAATTATTAATCAGTTCAAGTTATATGTATATATTTAATCCCCCAATTTTTTCTCTCTGTGCTTTCCACCTCTCCCAACCACCTTACTTCCGCCCCCCTTTTTATGGGTCACTCAGATGGCTTTCGTTTATTGGTTTATTGTCTGTGCAATGTCTGTGTGAGTGTTTGAGTATGCGTGTTTCTGTGTGTGTGTGGTGGTATTAAGCTGGAGGGTCCTTTTGAAGATTCTGTGCAATTTAAGCTAATCGCTGCGATTTTCGTTTATGGCTGCACTTTTTCTTCCCCCCTCAATGAATATGCGATTGCGAATCGAATGCGAATCGAAATGAATGGTATATCCAATACAATTCAAATGGAAATTGCTTATATTGTAGACGAGATGGTTTGTGTTTCGATATTTTGTAGCCAATTGAAAGCAATATAAACTATTAGTCTTAATAAACTTTGCAAATTGTATGGGAATGGTATTTTAAAATGGCAAAGATAGTATACGAACCAGTATGCCAATTCTAATCGTTTGAAAAATGAACGAGGCATTCAAAGCAGCAATTGTAAAAGATCTTAATTATTATAAGAAATATTTAAATTGATAGAAATTGTAAAAAAAAACAAAATTAGACCTATTGATTTCAATAAAATCTAGAAGAAAAAAAGTGAAAATTCAATTTATTTACGAAAAGGTCAAAAAGGTAAGCAAATCAAGTTAGTATCATGTTACAGTTGGCCAGAAAATGAAATTAATATCAATTTCCCGGGTTCTTGGAAATAAAGCTATGAAAAATTCAGAAATTTCAGTATTGCCTGTGGCTGACAGAATTTGCCCCCAACAGGGCGTGGCATTTGACAGTTTCCCACACTCTGGTTAGCCAGCACATAACGTATACGCCATGTATGTATGTATGGGATTGAGAGAGGCACCTGTAAACGTTGTAAAACCAAAATAAATTCCAACGAAATTAACACCCAAATTTGTAGAGGCGAGTACTTCACTTTATTTTTGCAAAAGCAAGACCAATTGAGCCAAAATGAAAATCACACTCAACCTCGAATTTGTTACTTTTTTGAATCTTTCATTTAGCACGGCATTTATTTTATTTATTTAAAATTGAAAGCTTAAGTTCAATTTGCGTCTGTAACAAGTTGTTGTTAATTGAAGCGCAAACAGGAAAGGAAAACAAAAGCGCAGCTAAAAACCCAAAACACAAAATTTACAAGGGACATTAGAAGAAAAGAAAACCCAAACGAGTGAAGAGGAAAAAAAATGAAAACAAAATGGTCGGGAAAACAAAATGGCGGAAGGCAAACAGATATGTATTTGTATGGGTATGCATTAATTTAGAAAGTTGCACAGAGTCAGAGTCCAAATTAACACATTTGCGGAATCTCTTGTTTATTTATTCACATAAATTATGTACAGTATTTATTTTCAGATTTTGTGCTTTTTTCTCTATCGGGCAGGCTTCTTTCAATTCGGTGCCAGTCGCCAGACGCTTTCTCACTTATTATGCAAATTATTTTCGCCGATTGGGCGGCAGATTTTCGGGAATTATTGCGCCACAAAAAGTTCCAAGAAAGTATCGGAAACAGCCCAGAGCTAAATCAGAGAAATTAAAAAGTTTGCCAGACCAAATTAATAATCAGTTAATGAGACTGCATTATTAATAGAACAATTTGATTGGGTCCATTGAGTTGGACCCAAGTTTAATTTAATATGTACAAATTTATGAATAGGATTCTTCATTATTTTGAAAGCCAATTTCCCTTTATAAGCTTTAAATCAAACTCCAAAATAAGGGAAATTTAGATCCTCTTATAAGCATTAATTACATTTGAGCGTTTGGGAATTCGAATTTCAATTACTTTCCATATTTAATTTGCCTACAAATTATTGATAATTAGTTTAATCTGAGTTTTCGATAATTGTCCCGGGAATGTAATTTAATTATCTCCATTATGATTGGCAGATGGAAAGGGGCGCTCACGTGGCAAATCAGCTGGGTGGCTCGAGTGCATTCGAGCAGAAAAAGCGAATGTCATTCCTCATTAATTTCAGAGGCGCACAGGCCGAACAAATGTTGTGTGTCTGTCATGACTCCCGTTTCTGTGTATCCTGGCCAAGGACACAATTTATTCGGCTTGTTTGTTGTTTAAATATTATTAAAACTAATGACGTTTGCTGGACAAACTTTGTGGAAACTCTTACCTCTGCCTGTGCCGTTTTGTATTTTTTATTGCCCGGTCATGCAACGTGGCAACATTGGCAACGGGGCGTATGCGTAATGAAATTTTGTTGCCTTGTGCTCTCGGTGTAACTCAATTAATGTCCACCGAGGCCCAAAGAGCCAGAGAAATGAAAACTTTTCCTGTGCGGTCTCAGTTTAAATTCACTTAGAACTTGGCTGATCCGATTGTTCGGGGGGTATATACTATATAGAGGTATATGCACACTGTAGATGGTACATTCTCATTATACGTAAGCTTAGCACCTGAGCTCGTGTCTGAACAAAAATGTTATTCAAATTGGTCGGCGCACGAGAGATCTAGGTAGACCTACCTAATGGCCATGAAAAACTTGGCCATCTGACCCACCATCCGTCCGAGCTAACAACATTTTGGCTTGGACTTGAACTGGAAAATTGGTGCGCCAGGACGCCAGGCCACCACATTGTGGCGTCGGGGGCGGAAGGCGGCCCAGAGTAATGGCCGCATTCTTGCTGTTGTTTTCCTCTGCAATTTGGTTTTTAACGGCAGCAAAATGCGAAAATGTCAGGCACTCAAGCAGCTCGAGTTATCCTGCCGCGCGGAGGACCAAACAAAACAAAAAAATACGAAAGTAAGAAGAAAATAATAATGTGGAGCCATTTGAATAAAATATAAGGCGAGAAAAGTTAAATGTAATGGGAAAGCCGCAGCCTTGATGGTGTGTGTGTGTGTGGGTGGGAGTGTGCTTTTTTTGAGTACTGTAAAGTAAATTGAAATTTTGTTCCGTTTTTTAATATTCTCGCTAGGGTCCTCACATCAAGGAATAGGATATTTAGGGTAGTAATGGGGGGCCGTACACAAAATGAAATCTCGCTTATTACTCTAGATTAGAGATCTTGAGATATTGTCTAAGTATTGTTGGAATTTATCTTTTGAACATAAATTTAAAGATATTATGATCCTTTACTATTTTTTTATGACATATTTAAACAAAATTCAATAGTGTTATTTTATATTTCTCAAACGGGTCAGTGTATTTAAAACTCCGTGAGTAAACACAAAAGTTTGGTAACTGCTTAGTCAATGTTGCCGTTACCTGCCTCGTTTAACCGAAATATATTCGAATTTTTAATGCGACTCCGCCCCCTTTCTAAGCCCCAAAAAAGGCAAAAAGCAGCAAAGGTAAGATGATTTTAATGGCGAGCGGCATTAGACGAAGGTCGTTCGCGACGCCCCCATCGAACACCATGCTTAAGCAAGCAGTGGGAATGCAAACACACTGCCACACTATACTCCATCCACTGCTTTAATGTGTCCGCCCGAGAGTATGCAGCGAAATAATTTTGTTTGCACATCAATCAAGGCGAAAATTCAGAAAATGGTTAGATGGGTAGGAGAGCCAAAATTCACTTTTTGGCTACCGCCACCGCTCCCGCTTGATTCCGCCATCAATCAGCGTCAGGCAAATGCTGCTTATCATATTGCCGCTAGAGGAAAAACGCTGCCACTGCATCAAATTGATATTTGTCAATAACTTGTTTTTTTTTTTTCATCCTCCTGCGGATGTTGCGGATGGCGTGGATGCTGCGGATGTTGCTGTGATAAATGTCACCCGACATGACAAAATATTCTCTGCGGTTGCAGAGCGACGTGCCACGAGCACCCAGAGTGCCAGAAATGGCGGAAATTTACCCATAAATGGCCACATCAATTTAATTAACGAAACGTACTTTACTGCAAAGTGAAAAGGAGTCCTTTTTTTTGTAGCCAGCTTGTGCATTTATTCATCTGCTAGTGATGCTAATTAAATAGTCAGACTCGTTAGCTGGCAACTGATATTCATTTAAATAATGAAATACATACTGGAAGAGGATTTATGCACTAAAGCAGATTCGTTGTTTACTTTCATTTAATTTTTAAATTCCAACTTTAAACTCGAAAAACCATTCAATCGATTAATTCCCAAGAGACTCATAACTACACCCTCCAGGTGGACCCAATCCGTTCTTAAATAAATCAAATATTTGTCCATATTCTATCCCCATTGAGCTGAGCACTCAGTTAATATTTGCCCGGGCCGTGTATTCAGCTGAAGACCCTTTCGAATTTGGCAGGATGCGAAACTATCGACTCGTTTGAAGGACAACTTAAATGTACATGCACATTCCCAGCTCCCTAAGAGCCCCAATTCCTTTACGTAGATACGTAGATACTCGAAAACTAGGAAAACTGGAAAAAGGGCCGCTCGTTAGAGGCACTCGAGCCACTTGCAGTTGCTACTTTAACAGCTTCTTTGCCTTTCTACGGGTATCTCAATATGCCAGCTTGTTTTCAATTATCAGGCATTACACTTAGATACACACTTTGATACACATCATTGGCTCTGTGTTGGGTATGGGTGTGAGGATGTGCGTGCTCTAATCAATGAACATTGAATAACTTCTGGCATGTGGATAGGGATAGAAGCCTTTTATGAACACGTCGGCATTTTACATTCATGTATGAAAAAAAGGACCCAAGGGAAGACTCTGACTAGCATGAAGGTGTGAGTAAATAAGGACATCTCTCTTACACACACACATTCAGATGCCACTTCCCTCTGATTAGCAATTGCACAATTAACCCCTTGAGGCCCACAACACTACATGTGTGAGAAAATTGAAATTACTTTTTAACTAGATTTTACGCCATCGTCCTACTGACATCCTTTTTCTCGTTTCTCACGTCTCGCCAGCGAACAATGAATTGGCATATTTTAATTAACCCATTGTGCCACATTTCCTGCTACGCGCCGCACAATGATCATTGGTGCACATATTCCTGCTGTTAGCGGTTTTTAATTAAGACTTCACTTCTTTGAATTCGTGTGAAAAGATTAAAGATTAAAAATAGCTGCGTTTTGCGGTCTTTCTGGTGGTTACTTTTGATTTAAATTAGAGCCTTTGATAGAGTTAAGCATTATGAGCTAGCTGTTTGGAAACTATTTTTAGATACTTTACATGCTTCTTAAAGATTTTAATTTCAAAATTAAGGGAAATTTCAGAAATAATTTTATAATTTTCTGTTTTTTTTTTTTAAGTGCACAATTTTGATAAATTTCCGTTACCATAACCTTGTTCTTATTCCATTCTCGAGTTATTTTTGGGTGTTCAAAGTTTCTGATATCTATGTATGTGTCGTGTCGGAATTCTCATGCCTGGTGGCGCCTGGCAAGTCTTTTGTCTGCGGTTTGGAAAGTCTAAGGGTGTGGGTGGCAAGGCAACTCGTAGCGTCTTAATTAGCTAATGGTTGCCTTGCTACCACACGGCCTTGCAGGCACGAAAAAGAGCTTAGACGGCTTGCTAGCTCAAACTCAATTTGCCACGTAACAAATTGGCCTGATTGGCATGCAAAAAAAGTAGCGAGCGTCCTTTCTTTCCCATATTTTCCGGTTGCATGGATAATGATGCAGGCAGTAAGTAGCCGGGCAGCCCGGCAGCCAGATTTCTTTTCACTTTGTTGGACGGCGATTTAAGGAAGCGTTGGAAATTGAATTTTTTTCCCTTAGACACTACCATCCTTTTTTCCATCCGAGCTACTAATCAAGGCAAATGCAATTTGTGGTGGTTCTTGTAGGGGAACATCTGCTAAAAGGACACTTAATGGTTTATGTAAATTCCAGCTCTGGAATGGCTCTTTGAGAGTGACTTTTAATATGTAGCCACGTAAACATTTCGCTGGCCATTGCTTTTGTCTATCTGGCTGACATTTTATGTAAATTCCTGGCCAACAGTGCGTATGATGTACACATAAAATGTTTACGAGTGCTGTAATAAAATCAAATCAAAATTTAATGGTTACACAAGAGTACAGGAGTGCAGGACAGCGCCGAGGAGGTGGATCCTTTTATGCCTTTGCATCCATCAAAATGTCAAATGGGCTGTCCACACACACACGAACGTACACGGCGGAACCGCACAAGTTGCCTGACCATATGGATATCTGCTTACCCAAGTATTCCCCATGCAGAACCAACTTTTGTCTGTAATGGGAGCGGGCTGACTTAGCTTCCTTTTCAAGGGACTCGAGATCCGAGAGGAGCATCAATCAGGTTTCGGTCGGGAAATAAATGTCAGAGCAGGATTTACGCTCCATGCCTGGGAAAGTTTCTGCTAATCCATTTTACGTGCTTGTTATGAATATTCCAAGGGCAAGGCCACACGCCGGTTCATTCGCTTCTCTGGTCGAGCATGAGAAATGAATTTACTTATCTTTAAGAGAAAACTCGTGTTTGTCCCGAGGACTCTCGTTTTGCCGTTTTTCCGATGGATGGATTTCACTTCCGAGGTAAGGGCTCATCAAAATCCCAAAACATACAATTCCTTTTTGCATTTAATTTATGACAGAAAGGATGAGAGACAGGTGGGTTTTCACTTGAAATAATCTGAATACCAAGACCTTACTCAATTTTCATTCAATAAAATAAAATAATGGCATCGATTTGCAAGTTCATACACAAATATTAATTGTTTACCTTAGAACTTCATATTGTAACTTGTTTTTGCTAACAATGGTAGTTATTCAAATGGATATATTTTTCTTTTACTGAGAATTTGGCCGAAGAAATTGCAGGAATGGCTATTGGAATTCTTACACGCCCTCTAAGAGTAGGATAATTTGAGTAATACCATGTAATGACCAAATAGCTCCCAGATAAGAAAGAATGTACGCCAAATAGTGGAGTGCCTTAAAATATTTGTAGATGATACTATTACAGCTACTTACTTCCAATATAACTAAAATACACACTAAAACCACAAGAGTATATAAGCTTCGCTTTTACCCGAAGTATCTTTACCTTCTTGTTGTTGAGTAATTTCGGCTCATTTATTTTATTTCCCTGCCATTTTTAAAGGGGTTCAAACGGAAGCCCACTCCCAGTAAGCAGTACCGTAAAGCAGTTCACTTCCTTCGCGTTGTACAAATGGTGTGTTCGTGCCATGCAGTTATCGCCGCTTTTTTGGCCATTAAACGAAATATGAACCCTTTGCCGAAAACGAGATTGCTTACCGAAATGCGAACAACATTAGCAAATATGTTTAGTACTTAGAGGACCTCGTTCAAGGTTAATGTTAAGCAGCGGCGTCGGAAATTATTTTTGGCTCGGCCTCAAATGGCCTCGAAGTCGTTGAAAGTTTTTGGCATCGCAGCGCTGATTTCTTCGGCCTCCTCGATTTCGGCTCATCATCAAGTCAATCAAGTTTTAATGATGCCACAATAAACCCACTCGCTGAATAATTTAAGAAATGTCCACGAGGCGTTATTTTCTGGGTGTCGTGTTTGTCCAGCCCCCATTTGTTTGTGTATATGAATGAGTCAGTGGGTGTATGGATGGATGGTTGGGTGGTTGGGTGGCTGGGTCTTCCACAGCGTTTATATTGTGGCATACTTATGAGCTCAAGAGAAGGAATCTGAAATTTTAATTGCTAGCAATTTTCCTTAAGTGTCTGGCAATAAATTGAAAATTTATGAGAATTTTAATGAACATTTACAGATTGCTGGACAAGAAGCTTCGATTTGCACAGTTTTATTTATTGAAAAATACTTTTTGGTTTTCAGTTTTCTGTTTTGGTTTTTCATGGTAAATAGTCCATTCTGGCTTAGTTTCAGGGCTTCAGGGTTTAGAAATATGCACATTATGATATGGTTTCCATTTATGGAGATTCGTATTCGACTAGCTCAATATACACACATAGATATACATTTACAATTATATAGTTACATATATATATAGCTTTGGTTTTTAGACCCCTTCCCGGGGTCTCGTAGTTGAACTCTAAAAATACAATATGCTCTCTCATGAGTTTTTGCGACAACACAGTCTACAAGTATTTTATACATATCTTGTTTGTTTTCTTTTTTTCTGCCATCTCAGTTGGGGTTTGTTTTGCTTTTCGGATATTTTGGGGTTTTGGGTTTTCGGGCTTTAGCCAACATTTCTCATTGTTTGTTTCGCAGGCTTTGCGTTCAGCCAGATTAGGGTTTAATTCATTTTCATTAGGGCGACAAGCGGTCCGCCCCAGTGTCAATCTTCATCAGAAGCTGAGGCCCTCAGTCCACGACCCACGTTTCAGTCCCAGTGCCAGGTCCTTCCATTCCAGTTGGCGCCACAGGACACTCGTCCAGGCCTCGGCTGCTGCTTGGCATTAATGCGGTTGGACAGACCCCGGGGCCCAGGCCCTTCGTCCACATGGTTGGGTTCAAATTCAAATTCAGTCCGCCTTTCCATCCTGGCCGTCCTTCCCGGCTTTTTCCATCCAATCCCGGCCAGTCTTCGGCAATTACAACAGCCTCTCCAGATCCTCGCTCTCCGCGTCGCTGATGAAGGAGTCCGTATCCGTAAAGTAATCGTCATCGCACCGATTCCGCCGGCAGCAGACCCGCCGCCCCATCTCCTCGTCGCTCCAGTGCTCGAACTCTTCCTTGTGGTGTTCCAGCAGCATTAGTGACGGAAACAGACTATCGCAGCCACTGCACCTGTACGGAAGAAAGCCGGAAGCCGGAAGGGGGGGACAGAACGGAAGTGGCAAAGTGAGAAAGTGAGAAGTGAAATCGCCAGTCAGTCTTAATTAAGTGCATTTCCCTTACCCGAAATGACGCTTCTTCTGCTGGTGGGAAGCCAGCTGTCGGTGACAATGGAAAGCTCGGTCGCACACGTTGCAGGTAAGTGATTCATCTGCGAATTGAGGTGATTAAAAAATACCTGTATTTGGGTAGTGTGGGATATGAATGGACGGTTCAAAGGATGAAACGCCAGGGACAGTTTGATAGTTATTGGGAGATACTGGGAAATTCTCTATGAAGAACTAATTAAAAACTAGCTTTATTAGTCAGTGCTTTTGCAAAAGATTCTTTACATCCATTACATTAATTAACTCCTTTATCTATTAACCTTTATGTAAGAGAAGAAGATCTCTTTAAAGTTTAGCTAGAAAAACCTTTATTCACTTTTTCTCTCCACAAAATCTTGAATAAATGAATTTCCTGTCTCTCTAGCTGCTCTATCCTTTCATAAACAAAATATCCTGTGACGATAAAGTCCTCCCCTTAAACCCCTTTTATGCCTTACTGTTTTGGTGCATCAGCCTTATCGACCTGCATCACTCACCATAGTCATCATCGTCGTCAGCCATTGCCAGGGCATGCAGCCGACTTATTGTGTTTTCGTTAATCTCCTTCGATGTTGACGTGGCCCCCCCGGCCAGATCCTTTGATGTTTTGGCTTTCGCCTGGCAGAGGCCCAGCTCGCAGAGGGCGCTCTCCACTTCGTAGTTGCCCTGGCAATCGGCATCAGTGCAGGGCAGTAGGGAAAGGTTTCCATTCCCGTTCACGTTCCCGTTTGCACCTCCTCCTCTGGTGTTGACATTGACGTTGCCATTGGCTTCACCTGGTGGCACATTGGCATTGCCATTGCCATTGGCGCTGCTACACCCGGCACTGGAGTTGGCTGCCAGCATTTCAAAGTCGTCGAGCTCATCGAACGGATCATCGATTTTGTGGCCAAGTGACACGGCATCGTCGGCCTCGGCACTGAGTCTGCCGTACGCCTTCCTTGGGGGACGCTTCACATATTTGTCTGCCATAAAATGAGGTGGAAAATGGATGAGAAACTTTGGGTAAATAGAAAGCAAGTTCGTACGAGTATTGATAAAACATTTGGGGCACCGTGTTCCGAGAGTTTCCAGTGTCCCGAGGGGCTGTTCTTTTTTTTAAGAACAGAATCTATTCGTTTGCCTTTCCGGAAGCTAAAATTTATGGACTTTGATATTTTTCTATTATTTTAAGGCTTCTATAACACATATTGGGAAAGCTATATAAAGTTTTTTGTTAGGATTTTTTAAAGAGTGACGTTTTATAATTTGATTGTAGGAATTCAAATTCCCCAGATATTCCGCAGATATTAAATTATAATTTATTTACCTACAAATAACGAGTAAAACCACTTGAATATATTTGTCATCTTTTACTTTTCACAGAAGTAACAAATAATTCTTCCCCATTGCTTTTTGATCGCTTTCAAATTGCTTTTGCTTTCAGAAAACTTTCTTCTTGTATTTCTGCGGTAATGCATTGATTCTGTTTCTTTTTTTTTAGTGCAGAACTTTTGTTTCCGCTTTACTGGCAAGTTCTCTTTGTTATTGCGCAGCTTGGAAATTGAGAAATGTGCCTCAATGCATCAGACAATTTATGGAGGCTTTTGTGTCGCCCTTGGTATTCACCGTGCGACCTGGTCCTGAGACAAAAAGTTTCCTCCTCATTCCCTTGCTTTTGGGGGCCTCCAGGTCCTCGAATCGTGAAGTGATAAAATGAGATTTATTGGAGGGCTTTGTTGGCGCAAAGTCGGAAGGGACAACAATAAATAGTTACTGGTGGTGAGATTCTATAAGGGCTTTATTTACGGCCCCAAAAATAGATGTACGTATGCTGACTTGGCCGGGCTATTGGAATTTTATGGGCCACTCGCCGTTCGAGCCCCCATTAGCAGCTCATTATGTGGGCTTGTCTCTGTGCTGGCTTTAATTGCAATCGGTTCAACAGTGCGTATACGTGACGACACGAAATGGACAATCAGGGCAATTTAATGAAGTTTAAATGAGATATTTAATCAAAATTAAAGCAGAGGTTTTATAAAGCTAAACTTTAAGTCCAATAAAGTGGTTTAGTTTTATATGGAATACTGTCATCTCAATGTCTCACTTAGTTTATGGAATCCATATTTTATGTGGCATATATTTTACTCACAAAATCATGACCATAAATCTCCCATTTGACTGCGGTCCACTATAATGTTTGCTTTCAAAACAAAATCATTAGAAGCCCGCATTGTTGTGGGTGCCAAAAAAAAGGCGAAACGACCATGAATATGAAAAGTATGTCAAGCGAAAAACCCCAAACACAAAAAACGCATATGGAAAGCAAACATTCGGGCTTAAATGACGGATGGTTTGGGGGAAAAAAGGTGGCTGGATGGGGGCGGTGAGCTGTCGAAAAAAGTGGCAGACCGTGAGGCAAACTAAAACTCAATTTTATCGCCAAATTGCTGGCCACAAAGCACCGCGCCAGAAAGTGTGCTGCAATCATTTAACGCAATATTTGTTCGTCTGGGATTTAACACACTGAATGGAAATTTATGACTGCGGCGTCCCAGTCTCCATAGAGAGCCTTTGGAGTTCTGAGTTCGGCTCCGGCCCGGTAATCTCGCCAAAAGATAAAAGTTTCTCTCTCGATTTTACTTTAGAATTACAACACAAATTATTACAAATGATGCCGCCCGCCGGCAAGAAAATATAAATCATGGCCCAAGAAAGATGCTGCCGACCAGAGACCAGACAGTGGGCTCCGTCGTTATTAATACGCCAGATAAATGCCTAATAATTCTTACCCTCATGCTGGGATGCCCAGGACGCTGGATATATACTATATACTAATACTTGTTTTGAAGGCACGGCCAAATGCCAACCATAATTTATGGTATACTCTCTTGTTGTTATTATTTCTGATGTCTGGCTGGGGAAAACCTTCACAAAAAATGAATCGAACAATCTGCAGGACCTCCAGCTAATTGGTTGCCCATATATCTGTATACAGTTTATATGTATCTGTAATCTCATGCCTTCTGCTAATTGCCGTTGCTTGTTTTACAATTCCCCCGCGCGGATTTCACAAATTGAATGCACACACGCATTATTCTCAATGACAAATGGTTGTCATAATTATCGGTTAATCCCGCCGCCATATGCTGCCCAGAATTTGCATAATATAAATCGCAAAACCCGTCTCTCTCTGTTGTAACTTTGTCTGTATCTTTTTAATGTGATACCACAACACAATACATGTGTTGACAGAAAGCTTAAGGCCCTCCGCCTGACTCCTTGTTGCTGTTTTTTCAATTTGTTCGACTTTTTAAATAAAATTCCACGTCTGCCGCCAGTGATTGGCTTTGCTATTAATGTCATAAATATTGGCAAATTCGAAAAGTGAAAAATGTTATTTAAAATGTGCAAAAAATTTGCAAAAAAAGATGCTCAATTATAGCTGTGACATTAAGCATTGTGTTTACTCTTTTCAATTTGATGAGTTTATTGTGTAATTGTTTTTAAAAATGTTTGGTTTTTATGGAAAGTTAAACTCTTTGTTTGTTGTTCGTGCCATCAACAACAAATGCTAAAAACAGCAAAATCAAAGCCATGCAGAACCTCCAGGACGTAGCTTTCCATACATATGCTTTCTGTCACCCAAAACTTTGCTAGATCCTCCGAGTACATTTTGTCAAACAAAATTTTAATTTTCTGGTGAGCAGATTCAATCAACAATATCAATATTGCCAAAAACTATGGCACACTCTCGTCAGCAAACAAAAAAGTGGGCCTGAATTTGTGATTAACCTTTTTAATTGCATTTTGTCCTTGTTTGTCTTTAATCTGCTTTATGCCAGCGATAATTAATTTATGACATACAACGAGTTTTTAATATACAATAAAGCTATTTGCATATCATTAAGATAGTTTGCTTTTCATACAATTTTTTATTTAAGGCGGGAATGTATGAATATATTTTAGGGTTTACCAAAAAAATCGTGTGGTGAAGGGCATATTCCTAGAAAAATAACAAAGATTGAACGAAAATTTTCGTTTGCCCCTTTTGGAAATGCCCCTTTTTGCCCTGAGGGAAATGGTGCCCCTTTTTTTCCCAATTTTTTTGTTACTTTTTTTGCTGGCTCATACCTAAATCTCCCCCGATTTTCCACAAGGGTGCCAGACTTAGCGCGTAGACAAAAGCATCTGGGGATCGAAGCCCAAAGTGTTTTATTTTCGACAGTCACATCCGCACCACGTTTCCTCACCCACAGTCCCACACTTCCACACCCGCCAGGACACTCACAGACCCACACACGTGCGTTGTCTCATTATTACGTGGGCTCCTATGGCCTCACTGTTATTTACTTTACTTTGTTCTGCTCCCAGGTCCTCCTGGCCCCTCTTGCAGGTTTTCTTCCCAATTTCGCAGCTTTTCCCAGCAGATATCGGCCAACAATGTCGTAAGTACAATACACTCGCCTCTCACATATTTATTTGGCGCGTATATTCCACAAGTCATTTCGGGAATTTTAATTAACTTGTTTTGATAACGAGTCAGAGTTTGGGCTTATGAATGAAGCTTGGGCCTAAGCAGGGGCATGTTTCGCATCTTAAGCATGGAAATCCTCCTAAGAGGGATGGGCCCCTGTGGAAATCCAAAGACACTAGCACATTGATCGGGCAATTGCCTGGCTGGAAGTCTTGGATAGACTTGGTATTCTAGAAATTCTGAATTGTGACTGTGATTGCTTGAAAAGCGCTTTGGGGTTTCTCATTTGGTTGTGTATTTTATTAAGGATTTAAAGGGTTGACAGGGTATTAACATGCAGGTAATAGCTCGGTTAATTGTGGTAATTAATTAAAAGAAAATTGAAGGCTATATTATAAATTGGCGAGAAATAGATACAACGAGAATAGATACAATTGATGTGATCCTTTGTGAGGGTTTTGTATTATTGGCTTTTAAAAAAGAAAGTTCAGTAATAAGTTTGTAAGCCAGTTCTCTCGTATTTAAATCTTTAATTAACCAATTATCGCAGATTATTTCTTGCTCTAATCTTGAGCAACAAACCCTGTAATAAGTTAAATACTATTTATGGCTGACTCGTATCGAAAGTTCGAAAACTAATACGATTAGTCCCGCTAATTATTGATGAATTATCCTAATTGATGGCAGATTCCGGAACACAGCTAACTGTGCTAATTGATGGCCCAGGTATAGGTTGGTTACCTTGTGTGCTGTTGCTGTGATTCCCACCGCCGGAGTTGCTCTTGGAGAAGCTGCAATTGTTGTTGAAGGAGTTGAAGAAGTTGGCGGCGCCAGTGCGGCGTAAAATCCAAAACATGGTTAATGGTGCAGGTGCTGCACCTGCTGGCAAATGTCTAAAATTCCACGAAGTTGATATGTTGCAAGTGACAGGAGTGGTACGGAATTAGGCAACAAACAGTTGCAATTTCACCGACGGCATTTCCACGCGGCGTGGCGCTGATAAGCGAACTACGGAAAATGAGACGAGGCTACGAAACGATAAGCGAAGTCGCGAACGGGCTCGTGAAAATGGGTTTTCCGCTTTTCCGCTGGCAAACGTTTTCGTTCGAAGTCTTCAGCCAACTAACAAGAGTTCGTCGAGGCACTCGCGTTTTATACTCCTGCTCCTGTACGCTCTTTTTCTCTCTTTCAGTAAGAGAAATCTCACAGCTGAGAGAAACTGCCCGAGTGTCCTACGTGGCGTATACGTAATAACGTAAGCTTTAAAACGTTACGGGGCAAAGTGGTCTTTTGCTCTTTTGGTCCTTTGACAGGAGCAAATGCCGTCGCTTGGAAAAATGCTAAACTTGACCTTCGTCAACACTTGCATGTTGTAGGCCGCTGGCAGCTCATAATTTGTTTTGTTTAATAAACGATTACGTATGCGCCGTGCTGACGTGCCCCAAGCTGTCGTCCCTTTACTCCCCCTAAACTTGTCCTCTTTCCACTAAACTGCCTATCAATCATGGCAACCGGAAGTGAAGCCGCAACTTTGTTGTCCCTTTTTAAACTTTAATATGCGTCTTATCTGGCTACACAATTAGAAGGGCGGTGCGACACTGGGAAAAATATTTAGTGAATTGAGAAACTGAAAAAGGATAAGTAGCTGTTCAGTATTCTAGTGCTATAGAAAAACATTTTTTATTTATTTAATAATGTTTTTTATTTAACAAACATAAAACATAATTGTTGGAAATGAATTTTAGATTAGGGCCCACAGTGATGCCTATATCTTCTTCCCCAATTCTTATCCGATTCTCAAGCGGAGTATCTTAAACGATTTGTGGATCAATTCTCCAGCATTCTGCATCAAAATCCTGAGACGAAATATTTTTTAGATTTTTTTCCATTTTTCGTGATGGGATCCCTTGAAATGGGGTCTTTCGCCTCTAGGGCCCACAGTGATGGCTATATCTTCCCCAATTTTCATCCGATTCTCAAGCGGAGTACCTTAAACGATTTCTGGATCGATTCTCCACCATTCTGCATCAAAATCCTGAGACAAAATATTTTTTGGATTTTTTGCCCATTTTTGTGATGGGATCCCTTGAAATGGGGTTTTCCCCTATATGGCCCACAGTGATGACTATATCTTCCCCAATTCTTATCCGATTCTCAAGCGGAGTACCTTAAACGATTTCTGGATCGATTTTCCACCATTCTGCATCAAAATCCTGAGACAAAATATTTTTTAGATTTTTTGCTCATTTTTGGTGATGGGGTCCGTTGAAATGGGGTTTTCCCTTATATGGCCCACAGTGATAGCTATATCTTCCCCAATTTTTATCAGATTCTCAAGCGGAGTACCTTAAACGATTTCTGGATCGATTTTCCACCATTCTGCATCAAAATCCTGAGACAAAATATTTTTTAGATTTTTTGCTCATTTTTGGTGATGGGGTCCGTTGAAATGGGGTTTTCGCCTCTAGGGTCCACAGTGATGGCTGTATCTTCCCCAATTCTGGTTCGATTCTCAAGTGGAGTACCTTGAACGATTTCTGGATCGATTCTCCACCATTCTGCATCAAAACCCTCAGAAAAAATATTTCTTAGATTTTTTGTCCATTTTAGATTAGATATTATTTATATATTGGATTTGCCATAATAGGATATAGGGGACATGATATAATGGATATGATGTAAAGTCTCTATATGCATTTGGTAATATTTGATGTTAGAAAAATTTTTTAAGTTTAATAAATTTCTCTAAATACAATATCCTTTACCATTTCTGCCAGTGTTTCTTGTAAAGAGCTAGTAACGAGCGGAAATGTTAAACGTGCCACTGTTGGCAACACATGCATCCGCATCAAAGTTTCCCTTTTATGGTTAACGCTTTTCCTACGCAAACAAAGGCGCTACCCCCTACCACCCACAGCCTCCTCCCGCGCCATTTACACCATCAAGTTTGCGTGTTCAAGTGCAAGTGCAAGTTCATGCCCTGCGAATTGCGAATTTATTTGTTGCACGCGCGACTCGATCTTAAAGACTTGCCACTTGCCTCAAATGGAGGTGCCCTCCGACCAGGCCAGTGAGTTCTGGGAAACCGGATATTTAAGGGTTTGCTTCTATTGATGTAGAAATGGAATTCTAATGTAATGTAATGTTTCTTTGTGCGCATAACAAATTCGGAAATTTGGAATTTAATATTTAATCATCGAGTTGACGTTTAACAATTCAAATTGTCGCAAATTGTGCCCTGAACTTTTGGCATTGGCGACATTACAAATTCATGCGGAACGTGCCAAAGTCACAACGAGTCTGAATGATTCTACAAATACGTTTGAACTTTGCGATACTCGACCCGTGTGTTGTGCAAAACTTTTGCCCCATAAATTATGCACTATTAAATGCTCATGTGTTATGCATGTCGTACAGCAAGGAGGCCAGGATGAGAGGACCACTATCACGACTACCAGCCCAGCACAAAGCCATACACATTGACAACAATTAGAGATAGAAATATTTTGCGAATACAGGATAATGGGATGCTACTAATGTAGGTCCAGCCCATGTAATAACATAGTTTGATGCCACTCATTTAGTTAGAATTGGGAATTTGATTATTGTTGAGTGGAAAATGATTGGAAATGTTTGCCAAGCTGAAATGCTAATCTTTTAATTTCATTCAAAATGGTATTTCAAATTTCGTTTGTGGCATTCAATTAAATTAGCTTAAGACCCAATCTTGTGCCCAGGTCTTGGTTGTTTAATGCAGTACACACAAAGTTTTCGGCTCGAATATAAACAAGGCTTTTGTAAAGTTGGCCAACTTGGGCCACAATCAATATTGATGGAATTTCTGTTTATTTTGGCTATTTGAGCGTCTCGGCGTAGAACTTTCGGTGCTTGAATTTAATTCGCATCACAAAGCTGCAAGAGAATATATTCACTGGCATTTAGTCTGCGGTCTTCTGACATATGTGCAGTCATATTTACCCAATTAGGATGAATGCTATTAAATAGAGCGCCGAGCTTAAGAAATTGAATTCTCCGGGATTCCTCTCGAGGGAATTCTTGTAAATGGCCGTGTATAGGGGAGCAGCAACTATTATAAAATAAATTATTAATTTCGGATTTCAGTTTTTGAAGGACTCTTACCAAATGGTGCAAAGGATTGCACGATGTTTCCAATTGCAAATAGTTTACCTTGAATAAGAATTTATTTCTAGGGCTTCATAAGTTTATGTAAATTTTGTTTACCTGTATCAGAAGCTGGTACAATATTCGATACAATTGTGCGGCACATGGGCCCTTGAATAGAGCGAAAGACCCCCAAGACCACAGACAGATACAAATGCCAGGGAAGATAGGCAAATCCCCTGGCCAGATTGCTAAGAATTTCGGAGAATATCGAGAGCAAGGCCAAGGACACCACAGACATGCGAAAAACCTAAACAAAATCATTAACTTAATTGGATTGAATTGAAAGCGATATTACCTTTCGCAGAATGAGAAACCCGAGGAGGGCTCCCAGCATGGTAACCGATTGACTGACAGTCTCGAAAATGGTAAACTCCCGGACTGTCATGTGGAACTGTTGGCGGACAAACAAGTACATCACAGTCATAACGCCATCTGCAGATAAATCATCACATCATCGTCGTACTTTTTTCCAAACCCAAAAACAGAAAAGGGGAAAAACTCACCAACCACAAAAATGGACAAAAATCCGGCCAAAGTAACCAGCCAGATGATGGTGTGAGCGTTGTTGGGTCTTATTTGGAAGCAAGTTTTAAACATGTCCATCACATGTTTTAGATTGAACAAGCCAGTTTCCGTATCTACGGGCTTTTCACCTATCTCATACTTGGGTGGATCTTCGCATTTTTCCGGGTCTTTGGTGTCACTAAGCTTATTATCTGTAACAGTGACAACAATGTCCTTTGCGCATTTGTCGTCCGAAACTTCATCCTGGTCGGGACACATTCCAAGGCTTTCGGGCAGATAGAAAATAATAAAAAGTGTAGCTAAAATTATAATCAAACAGGAGAGACTCTGAATGAAAGCGGCACTGGTGGCGGCATAAATAAAACTGGACAGAAGTGAGCCACTAGTTAGGGCCACAAATAGAACCATTTCCATAAAAATCATTCTAGAAAACACAAAAAGAAAATTAATTTTAAAATTTTTTTAAAATTTAAACTAGTATTTTCACCTATATGGTCTTGTTTTCATATCTGTGGTATCTGTAATAAAACAAAAGGCAGCCACTGAGAACACACACAGTCCACCCAAAAGGGAATGAGGCAGTGCAGCCAGGGTGTACCACCAGGGATTAACCATATAGTAACTGGAGAGCCAGCATATAACACTTGACATCAGGGAAGATGCAGAGAAGCCTATGAAATAATATATTTATAAAATATTCAACTTAAAAATATATTATTTGTAAACCCACCGACCATGGAGACAATTAAGAGAGGCTTTCGACCATAATGATCCGACCAGGATCCAATAAATAATCCACAAATGGCTGGAACAATACTTTCGAAAAGTGTACGTGTCAGAAACATGCTGGTCACGTAGTTTTGCAATTCTGTTTCAATGGCCTTTTAAATAGAAATATTATTAACATTAGATAGCCAGAACATAAAGTTGAAATATAATAGCCATTAATTAAACCTGTAGTTCTGGAGTTATATTTTTGCTATCCAATTGCACACAGTCTGACACATTGTACTGAAAAATCACAGTACAGGTCTGATAAATGAGCTGATTGCGCATCACAGTGCCTAAATTAATTAAATAGTTGTATAATGTTCTTTGATACAGTAAATTTAATAGATTGACTTACCCGACAACATATGCGAGAATAATAGCATAAAAATTACTGGTTCTATGTAAAACATATTGAAGAAACGTCCCCATTGGAGACTCTTAAGTTGAGCCAATGAAACTTTTTCAACCATTTTAAAATGTTATGTTTCTGACATTTAAATAACTCAGAATTGTATAAGTTTATTGTAAGCACTTGTTTTTATTCCCATGCATATTTTTAATATTTTTCAGAGCTTAGTTTTTTTTAAATTATTTTAATGTTGTGTAGGGGGGCGTTGATTCCGGAAAAAGATTCCAGAAAAATTAGTTTGATTAGTCAGTTTGAGTCAAATTAGTCAGTTTGAGTATAAAGAACGCGGTCAGCTTTATTGGGCTGCTTACATCGGATTAAAAACATAAGAACTAGTGAAAAAAAGAGATCGCCGACAACCAGAGAGCGAGAAGAGAGGGCACAGAGGGGCGAGTGTTGACGCGCTCTTCAGCGCGGGTGCGCTCTTTAGCGGACGCGGATGCGCTCTTCATGTGAGTGGCACCACGGCCCCTCACCTAAACAAATGTTATATTTTTTATAATGTGTCTTGTGACCTTCACTTTATAAAAGCTAATTACTATTTTTAGTTCAATTGGACTTTCCACTTCGATGAGTTCACAATTCGCAACTCCAACGCGACGCTTTCGAGTTATAACTCTTCTGTGTTCCGATCACGAACTAAACTCATATAGCTTTGGAGCCAAGCTTAAATATATTGTGCTTCATATACTATAGAATAAAAGGGGATTTCCAATTTTTGATAACATCTTCAACGTTTATTACTCAAACAAGTGTGTTTGATTTGCTGTTTTCAAATGTTAATTCGGCAAACAGATCGCAGAGACTATATCATTATATTTGTATGTGCCATGTGAACTTTTGAAAAGTAAGCAGAACTTTTACAATCCCTGGAACAAGGCAATGTACTTAACCCTTTTATTCTGGGGAAACTTTTTAGTCCACTCCCCGGGGCACGCACATACCCGCGAATTTTAGGAAAAGTGTTTTTTGCAGCCAAGATGGGAAAACGGGTGCAACTTTGGCTGTGTAAATTGCAGGGCAACATGTTGCCAGAGCCACTGTGCCAGTGCCTTACCGAGATGGCAGGGACCAAGGATTCTTGCTTATTCTGCGCTTTTTACAACATCACTATTTTCCCCTTCATTGGGCGGCTGGTGCGTGGCAGGGCAGCATAAAATATGCATAAAGATTTTAAGCTCGGTAGAAAAGGGAAACGTTTACCAAAATAATTTGGTAATTATTTCAGGGGTTTTAAATTGGCGGGTAAAGTAAGCTGCTTGGCGGGTTTTATTAAGCGCCTGGGTGTGTTGATAGCACAACCCCGAAAGAATATTAAAAAGTCGGAAAAAATAGAGTTTGGGCTTTACGGCAGGGCGGCATTGTTTGGCGCACATCACGCATACGCCGCGTATGCCGGTTCGCCATTGTTGACAAGCTAATTGTAAACTTTTCCGCTTTTCGTTTCATTGTTTGCAACTCCCAGGAGAAGCCAAGGGTCCCTGGGAGAAGGGGGAAAACAAAGGACCAACGAGGCATATTAAAGTGGCAGATATGAATGCCCGAAAGGAGTTCCACATCCACATGCTAAGTTCATGCAACTATTGTCTTGAAATTGCGTTGCGTTAGGTTCTGAGTTGCGCAACATGAAAAATAGTAGAACCGGAAAGAGGGGCAACTGTTTGCCATGTATGTATGTGCGGCTTTTGTGCTGTTGACACAATACCAAAGGCAACTTATGTGCAAGACCGAGTGAAAATTAAAAAACAAAAACGTTGAGCAAAATAAAAAAAAACAGTCGAAAGGAAATAGCAGCCAAAACATAAAAGGCCATAAAAGCCGAGTCGAGAGTAAGCCAAGTCAAGAACGCCCCAGAGAATGAGGGTAAAAGCAATTTCTTAAACGCAGCACGTGCACAAATTCATTTTTGTTTGCCTTAATTATTTCTAGATGAAATGGCGAAAGGGACTCAAGTCCCACACACAAATCCTTATCCTCGGCATCGCTCGTTTTCTTCACAATTGTTTAGTTTCACTTTGTTTCGGATGATTTATGAATGTTTTGGCTTTTGGGAAATCTGTTTCTGTTACTTTTTCCAGGGCCTACGAGTCCCTACCTTATGGCCACACAGTTGAGAGGCAAATGAATTCTAATTCCGGTTCATTAAAGCCAAAAACAGTAGAATGTGAAGTTTTCCGACTGTAGATTAGATAACAGCGTCATAGGCATTAATCTTTAATCAAACAACGTTTGAATAATTTGGAAAAAAAGCATCCCTTCTATTGTTTCGTTGGCTAATTTGCATAATTTTTGGTATTTGCTCTTTTTTGTCGGATGAAGTTTAAAAGTGAAAAGCCGCCAAAGGTCGGTTGCCTGACCTTAATTTCTGTACAGGTTCAATTACCCAGCCTGCTCGTTATTTCAATTTTTTTTGCCACTTCCCGAGAGCTTTGAAAGTATTAAATTATTTTTCCCTTTGCCGGATGGCGACAATTTTTATTTGCCTTTTTTCCAATTAAAATATTAAAATACAGTTACTTTGAAGCGGCCAGTCCTTATGCTGTAAAGTGTCCTTTTACAATTAGGCCGTAAAGGCTTAGCGGCCTTAAAGTTTATAAGCCGCTTTAAGCCATCACAGCTGCTGGCTGTTTCCACTCGTTTGGTAATAAATTTCGATTCGACCAACGCCTTTTTTGCAAAAATCAATGGCCAGTGGTTGAGGGCTTTAATTGGCTCCCGGGACAGTGGCATGTGGTTAAGGGATTTCTCATGCCCCTTTTGGGCCAAATTACAGTCACTCGATGTTGTTGGCACATTGTTGAACATTTCGAACGTTTCGAATCTAGAGGGCCTGGCCAGTTGGCAGCCATAAAACTGAAAACCGTAGTTTGCGGTGGCATTAGTTTTTGGCAGTTTTAATTGCCTGTTCAAGTGCTTTTGGCCATAGTTGCTAGCCTTGGCATTGCAGCAGCTACAATAACATTTTGTTATTGGATTGGAATGCCCACCCATAATTTCTCTACAAAATAGCTCAGCCGTGAAGATTACCAAACAAATTAGTGTACTCATTGTTTTTACCATTATATTTAATTATATAAGCTAGCAATAAAAAGAGATACATTTTATTTAATTTTGAAACGAATATACAAAGCATAAATATCAAAAACCTTATGCTAGGTTGGTCTTAACAATTTATTAAAATAATTTATTTCAGTCAAAAGTCCAACTGTCTGGATATGCCTGGGAATACAATAAAAATTCAGTCAGACGATGTGCCACACATGCGACAAGTCACATGTTTGTTTGTTGTGGCAAACTGCTTTTGACAAATTTCCGCACATCTAACAAATTTGTTATGAGAGTTTTCACAATTTCAGGAGTCGCAGTGCCGGCACACATGCCACTGCCAGAATCGGGCCAGAATTGGGCGATGTTGGCCCATTAGTCAGGCCAAATGGAGCAGAAACATATGGGTTCTACTACAGAGCCAGAGCCAGGCCAACAGCCAGAGCCAGAGTACTGTATTATTCGGAATTAATGAACTCGTGATGTAGACATGTCTCACTTGGATTACAAGCCATTCCTCATTTCTGATAGAGCAGAGCTTGAACCTCTCGAGGGCGAAAATGAAGTACCATACAGCGTCTTTGTTTTCGGATTGTCGCTGAATGCAGCTATCCATTTGCATGTCTAGGTGCAATTTGCAAAACCAGAACGTTGCGAATCGGTATAAATATTTGATAAACAACATTTCTGCAGCTTTGCGGTTCAGTGACTCTGCGGGGCGTCGCAAATTGCGGCAAATTTCTCGCATTTATTTTCCATTTACCAGTATACTTGCCAGTATGTGGCAGCGTATTCTTCGTCTCCGCTTTCTCTCTCTTGGCGGCGCATTAAAAAACTTTCATAATCATAACTCTGTCTTGGCTTTCCCATTGTTGCCCGCCGCTGTTGCCCGGAGACTTTTCTTTACTTTTCCAAACCAAACCAAGCCAAGCCCAACTGAACGATAAGGCACTCGAGGGCCCGGGAGCCGGAGCCAGATCCGGATCCGGGTGTGAGGCTGAATGGAAAATCAATACATATTTATGGGTTCATGTTGTGGGTGCACGTACGAAATATCAGCCATACATACGGGTGTGTTATATCCAAGGAATTGCTCTCCAAGGGGTGTCCTGCCCTCTGCATCCTTTTCCCTTTCGGCCCTCTGTTGGCCATTTGCACGTTTCGAATCATAAAATATCTGCAGTCCTACACTCGTAGGAATGCGAAAAGAAAATAATTTTTAATAGTTCCACACATCCTTGCCAATACACCTGCCAGGTGTCGGGGAATGTGCAAAAAATTGGAATTGCAAAGAGATGAGGTAACAAGGAATACATTGAGGACTCTCATTGGTTAAATTACTTAAAATTTGTTTAAGGATTACTAAAGTTTACATCTTGTTAGAGGATATCATGATCTTAAGTATCCGAGCTGGGACCTGAACTGTAAACTGAAATGCTTTGTTATTTATTTTGTAAACAATTTATTTATCCCCTTTGTACATTAAACAGGAACTAGCAATACCTATTCAAACAGCTTCCATATGCTCTGATGTATGCTAGAAAATAATCGGCTTAGGTTCTCGCTCGCTGCCGTGCACTTTTCCGCAGAAAATTGATTTGAAATAGCTCGGGACTTGCCACTAAGCCCGCACAAGGAGACAGCCAATGGCATTAAGCGTAACTAATTTAAAATGTAATTCAGAGACTGAAGTTCGAGCTTCGAGTGCTTTAAGGTCAAGTCGATGAAAGTGGCCGAGTTCCAATCGAGCGTATTTTCAATTTAAATTCATTTCCTTCCACTTGACATCGTTTCATTTAGTTTTTGGTCGAATGAATAGCAAAATAGAGAAGCTATTTCTTCGAGTGTCTAGCCAGAGAAGTTGGAAAAAATTGTGAAAAATTGTAGAGCTTCGGCACTTACCAGGTGCCCAGCTTCTTCAGGCAGTCGAATCAAAGTTTACTCTGAAAGGATTGAGTCCCGGCACTGGAAAATCAAATTGCACTCTGCCAGTTTTGTGCTCCAGGTTCTTGCTTTTACTTTCATTGTCTCTGGGCTTCAAAGCTTTTCACATTTTTTGATTGATTGAAATTGATATACGTCCGTATATACATACGGTAGGTATATAGAAAAGCGAGTGCTTGTTTGTGAAAATGCATCTGGCTCGAGTGGAAAATGCGGAATTGAAATGGGCACCCCAGAGTGGAGTATTGATTGATTTCCATTTCCAGTCTCTGAGCTGTATATTTTAGCTGATAGTGAAAGTATTTTGGATTTTTGTTTTGAGCTTGGATTGGATTGGACTTTATATAGTTTATTTAGTATTCAGAAGTCAAGCATCAGTCTTCTTTCTCTTCTTAAATTACTTATTATTTTCTGAACAACAATATAAATTATAAAATCAAGGCTTTAAGGCTTTAACTTTAAGCTGATAATGAAAAGTGGCTTTAATTTTCTCTTTGAAAATGCAATTTAGTGAAGCAAATGAAAGCAATTCCAGGCAAGATTACCAAATGGCCTTAAGCCCGCCCTATTAATCACAAAAGTAATTTCCGGCCCAAGTAATAATTCGATTAAAACACTTTGTAGTGTTCTAGGCTCGTTTTGAATTCATTGCATTCCACTCGATGTCCTTAATCCTGTGGCAAATGAATGGCAATGACATCAAAGTAAGCCCCTCGAAGGATGTCTGAAGTTTGCTTAAATTTTTATGGCCTCAACACTTACCAGGTGCTCAGAATCTGTTGACAGATTCTCGGATGCTCAATGCCACAGAATTTTACTGTCAGCACTTGCAGAAGCCTGTTCCAGACTGCAGCCTTGCAGTGAAAAATCAAATAGCTCTTATCCTGGCTGCGGTTTGGGGCCCTACTTTTCCTTTCACCCTGCCTACATTCGAATGCAAATGGGATTTTAGTAGCCAAGCACTAGGAGTGGAATATACCAACACTTTTCTCTATTTATACACAAAATATGTGGCTCGTTGGGAAAAACTTTCAAGCCACAAGTCATAAAATATACAATTTATGATGCCCCCCTAGACATATCAAAAACATCTTTGTTTTTTGTTTATTTTATAATTTAAAGGTCTTACTTTAGAACTAACAGTGGAATCAAAGAGCGAGCTATGAATAATGGCAATAATAAATAATTAATACACTGGTGTGGAGACCATTTGTTCGATGCGAAGAGAAAGGCCAACCATCGGTTTAGTGGTTTGCGGACCGGCTGGTGTAGTTGGTGGATGAAGTGGTCATCGACTGCAGTTCGGTGGTGCGCTTCTGCACGTCCATCTTCATCTTTGTGGGGCAAATCAGGCCCACCCACGCCCGTCGATTGGCCGCATCCAGGAGGACGAAGTAGACGAACATCACGAATCCCTGCATGGTGGCTGTGATGCAGAACAGGTACGAAAATGCCACGCCCGCCTGCATGAAGGCAAAAATGCCGAAAATCCAGGTGAGTCCCAGCAGGAAAAAGAGTAGAATGGAGAGCCGAATCTGCTTCACAACCATCTTCTTTTCGGCCCTGTGGATGGTCTGGCTGAGTGAGTGGGAAATACTGTAGAACACGTACACGAAGATGATGAAGTTGGCAATTGTTATGAGAGTCACTGGCAGCACTACGCCGAAGATAAGGCCGTATCCGGATGGGTAGCAGATCCCCGTGTCCGTGGCCAGCTGGGCCTTTGTGGGCACATACGACTCCGGGGCTATGAGAGCTACCAAGAGGGTCGGAACCAGCGGCAACGTCCAGGCCACAATGGCGGCCTTCAGAATGTAGTGCTGGGGCCTCTCGATTCCAATTACCGTCACATAGCGCTGGAACTGCAGGAAGGCGATGATCAGCATCCAGCTGAATAGCACCAGAAGGGAATACTGGAGAGCAGCTCCCAATGCCACGCATCGTCGAGTGTCTCCGTTCACCACCAGCTGCTCGGATATATCATCCGTGTTGATGAACACAAACAGTATCATCTGCAGGGCCATGGCCAGGCAGAGGTGCAGCAGGACCTTGGTGGAGGCCTGGGTGCGCCAGGACTTGAAAAGGCCTGCCGTGAGGAAGATTCCTAGCACTCCCACTAAGGACAATGAGCAGCCCACAATGGAAATTATGTCCAAAACACGTTCGTTGAGCGGCGTAATGAGCACATCCTCGCCTAGGCCGTTGGTTCGGTAGCTGCCGCCGACGAGAAATGCAAACTGGGTAAGGTGGAAGGTGTGGCACTCGATGATAGCGTCCCTGAGCAGATCCGAGTTGCTGGTGGACACTCCCTCAGTCCGCCACGTCTGGTAGTTCCAGAAGCCGCAACCACTGCCGGCAGCAACAGCTCTGGAGTCCGGCTCCCGAAGGTTTTCGTTCCTCAGCAGAAAGGGCAAGGCAAAAGGCAGGGAGTGGTCTAAAAAGCTGAATCATTAGATGACTGCAATGAGGAACTAAATCTGGCTTACTCACCCTCTAAGCCGGGTATGGAAATAGAGATAACCTTGCTGCGGGGTCGGCGAGTTCTTACTTCTGCAGTTTCCACAAAAAGTGCATCGTGGGCATAAACCTTAAAGGTTAGATAAGAAGCACCCTTCCTCTTAAGAGCCTGCCAGAGATTGTCGGGCAGAAAGGCCGCCGTTTCCAGGTGAGACTCTGCCTTGATGGTAGCCAAGTCATCGGTGGAGCGGAGGAACCTATACCAGAAGCCACTGGCACAGGCTAACCTGTCCTCCGAGCTGGCAGAGAAGATGGCGATTCCCGTGACATTGTCGCAAGAGGGATTGGCGAAAAATACACTCAGATTACCAGTGATCTGACCTTGTACCCCGATATTGGAATAGTTTATGGTTTCCACGCCAGTGGTTGCCACTTCGCTTGCATCACTGGTTGTTTGGGGCACCACCTTGCCGCAACTCTCCCGGGGAACCAGTTGTCCCGGCAAGGCATCCATGTAGGTTTCAAACTGACTCAGCAGCGAGTTTGTGGCATTCAGCTGAGCGGAGAGCCGCAGAACCTGGTTGCCACTGGACATGATCTCCTTGCACACACTAACGAGGTCCACGCTGAGAGCGGCGTCCTTGTCTTGCTGCATCAGGGTGCCCAGCATCTGGCCCGTCATGTGGACATCGGCGGGGAGTAGGGTTCTGTCTCGCTGCCGGAACATGTTCCTCATCAATCCAGTCATCTCCCGCCGTCCTTTAGTGTCATTTGTCCGCCTCCTGCCCTCGAGGATGTCGTCGTGAAGACTATTAAGGTCCGTGCTGATCGAGTGCTCCTTGTATCGCCTAAAACAGACCACGGGCGGCCACTGCTGAATGGACTCCCAACGAGCCCTGGAATTCTGCAGTTGGCACTCCCGCGTCACCGGCATTCCATTCCTCAGCAGGCACACATCATGCAGGGTGGCACGCTCGCCAATCCTGGCCCTCTTCCACCTGTTCATGTGGGGCGTCTGGTCATGGTTCCGGGTAATGTAGTCGTGCTCGAACTCTTCCGGCTGGCAGGTCATTGAATCACAGAAAACCATGTTGGAGTTTGTGTAGCTTCCATCATGGATAATTTCCAAGCTGGAGCAGTGATTGTAGGTGCCGTTTAAGAAGCAGACTCTCCGTGCCTCTGGGCAGCTTTCCATGTCTTTCTTCCCCAACTTATTATCGCGTTTGACCAAGATTATTGAAGGGGTGGTGGTGGGGAAGGGGATGGTGTCATATTCCGGAGCATCAAAGGTGGAAGTTGATGAGAAAGAATCTAGTAACGAAGGAGGTGCTATAGGAGCTTCTGGTGGGGGAGGAGCTCGGAAGGGTGGTGGAGGAGCAGGCGAGGGTGGAACTGGCAAGATTGGAACTGGTGGCTGATTAGTTGGTGAGAACCGCTGAGGAGCTTGGCTTGAAGGAAGGGAAAGACTTGGGGACCTTGGATCGAACGATTCCTGAGCTTCCAAACTCCATGGCATGAGAAGTGCCAGAAAAAATCCAAGGCACCGCACAATTTTCATTGTGAATCACTCAATTACGACAGCTGTTTTATGTTTTCCGTATAAATATATGTATATTTCTGGAGTACCGCCCGACTGGTAATTGTAGTTCCCACGTCCGATTCGCTCGGAATATCACGTCTCACTGAAGTCTCCACCGATCGGCTGGATGTTCGCGAACCTTTATCAGTTGCCACCGCGGTCGCTAATCAATCGTTGTGTATGTGTTTCTTTGAGGAGGCATTACTAATGCTCACTGCCGATATCTTTAAATCGCTCAGATAACACACACTCTTTAACAAAAAAGAACATGTAGTGTAGCGTCGTTATTATTTACAGTATTATTAACACTTCTTCGGAAATCGGAGGCCAAAAGCCGACCGAGTCTAGAGTATTGCTTGGCTTGTGACGTCGTGGATTGTGTTTAGCTTTTATTTGGCCAAACAGCGATTTCACGCCTTCTTTACCCTACTTGGGATTTAAAAATAAACACGCTGAATCACTAGAACCTTTCAGATATGAAGTTCATTGATAGAAATTCCTTGGGAATAGAAAAATAGAAACAAACCCATTATGAAGTAGTTTTGTAATAAAAACCGAATTATGACTCTTGCTATCTTAATTGGGAACTTTCAGTTTCCATACGCAGTATACAAATATTATTTATATAATATCTAGGGTCAGAATAGAACCACAAGTAACTAATTTGAATGTCTAGTCGTGTGACATATTAATTTAAAACTCAGCCCCATGCCACAAGGTGACAAATTGCTAATTTTGGTTTAATGAACTCGCCTTTCAAAACATTTTAAATCAATTCCAGAAAGGGTGCTAACTTTTGAAATTCTTTTTCGATTTAATGCGTATATATTGTAATATTATTCTATTCCAATCTTTGGCTTAATTTAATTTATTAGCCACGTGAAGCTGGTGACTTTTAAGCCTCCAAAAACGTTGTGACCTTGGCAGCACGCACTTCGATTATCGTTGGGACAGGTTTAGAGCTTTCACTGACTGAACGAGATGATGATAACTGGGTCGCCGGAAATGTGACAGTCTAATCTACCTTTGCCACCACGATCCCCGCCAGTTTTTCGGGCCCAAAATGTAATTTTTATAACCAATCACGTATTCATATTGTAAGCCCTGCGTAGGCTGCTGCTGCCGTTTTGCGGAAATTGTTGGCCTGTCGACACGTTTTCAATTATCAGCCAAAAGCCTCTGACGAATTCAAGCACTAAACCCACTCGCTTAGATCCATCCCCATCCCATCCCCGTCCAGTTCCATTTACATTCCGACTGGCATCACCAAAAATTGATTGGCCTGCATGCGTTCAATCAAATGTGTCACATCTTGACGTGTTCGCTCTTCCTTTATTGCTACGAGCCAAGTGGGATATGACAGACGTGCAGCTGTCAACTAGATGAATAGTGCACTGGCAGAAATTTGAAACTATTTATAAAGGATTAAAGATGCAAATAATAATAAAAAACCAATAAGTCAAAACCTTCAACTTAACCTCCTCCCCCAACCTCCAATAAGAAGGTTAAGAAGTCTATGGAACTGCATTGAAATTACTTCGATTCGGCTACTGCAATTGGTAATTCATGCCCCACCGAATATCCAATTAATGGCTTCTTCCTCCGACAAAAGCATAACGAAGTCTGAGAAGTCTAAAGCCATCCCGTAAACGTAAACTTCCTTCAGGGCAACAAGTGACTGACAGACTGGCAGACTAAGAAACTTGGTTTGTGGCATTTAGCCTTGGCCAAGTTGGCAAGAGCGAGTCAAAGCTGCACCAGCCACCAGGAAATCATTCAACAAAACTACCAGCTTTGCGGTGGTGTGACCGCCAAGTATGGCCATAAATTTTCCAGGGACGGGCACAAAGGCTGCGGATGCAAGATGAAACTGCAACTGGTGGACGGCAAGGTTGTGGGCCCCGGGGCAAATGCGATTAGGGTCGGATTCTGGAGAAGGAAAGTCGCCGGAGTCTCAAATTGAACCGGAGGCCAATGAGCCGTGGCGACATTAACGCACTTTTAACGACCCTCCCAAGGAAAGTAAGAAAGTCAAAGAGAAAGTAAAGAAAGTGAGGCACGCACGCATCGTTAAAAATTGAGCACGCATTACGGGCGTTCAATAAAAAATTGGTAAACTTGGCTTTTGCTTTTAAGCACTTAAATGGCTCGTTGACGGCACCGTCACCGCTCATAAATGCGAGTCCCCAGTCCTCAAGGATGACAGAAAGAATACCCACTGATAAGGGCAGGCAGGATTTACATACAGATATGGTATGCATATGTATAGTCCTTTATCCTGGTACAGATGGCGACCATTAAGCTCATTACGCGCCGCCATTCTTCATTCTCCGGTTCGCCAGAGTCGTCTGCCCGTGTCCTGGGTTAACAATTTTCCGGGGAAACAAAGGCGGGGAACCGCAGAAACCACATGTTAGCAGCTTCAGCTCCGGGAACCCCCTCAAGTACCCAACCAGGCATTCGACCAGCCACCACCCATGTCAATTGCAGCCAGAAGAAATTCATTTTGGCTTGCGGGCAAAGTTAAATTGAATTTTTTCGTTTTTTTTTCTGCGCTTGGAACTCGTTCATTTCGGTTGGGTGGTAGGTATGTAGGTGGGTGGGTGGCTGATTCGGTTTCTTTCCCTCCAAGCCCTGCAAGCTTTTGGCTCAGACAACAGGTTGCGGGGATTTAATGAAATTAGGCACTGACGGCAACCTCGCAGCCAGTTTCTAAATAAATACAAGCTGGCTAACAGGGTGATGCCAATTGCAATGAAAATTTCCTTATCAAAAGGCTCTTCGTAGAGGTTATTAACATAAAATTCTGTAATCCAAACATTTCCATTTTTTGTGGCCAATAAATAAATTAACGAAGAAATGTTGTGGCTTTTATACACCCTGTTTTCTTTAGTCGGATTAAACATACATTTTTGAGATGCCTTCATTTTACACAATTGCCAAGGCAACAAATATATAATACGCTCGTGTATGCAGATCCAGCGTGAACTTTGACACGGCACATGTGTTCCCAATGCCCCCCTCTAGCTTTCTGCGATTTCCCTCCTTGGACCGTGATGCTACATATTTGTGTGTTTTATGCCAACTCGGAGCAATTTAATTTAATTACTACGTCTGTTGCCGGAGCGGCATCATCTAATTTCATTTGGGACATGAGGGTCCGGGCAGCAGTTGCCCAATAAACACTGACACATGATGCCAGCCATGTTTGGCTTCCAGTTCTAAATGGATTAGCCCAGTGGCATACTAGACTCCTTTTGACCCGAGTGCTGCAATCCCTGCTGGCATTTGCCTGGAAAAATTTGCATAAGCTTAGATTAAAATTAAGTTTGACTTTTGAGCTTGAATTTTCTTAGGAAAATTGATTGAAAATTTGGGATACACTTAAATAGATCTTGGATGGCAAGTCTGAAGATATCTCGAAGTTCTCCATCTGACATACTTTACTTTTCCATTGAGAAAGTAGTAAGTTCAATCACACATTGCTCGGCCAAAAAAAAAGTTTCCAATTACGAACTCGGTCTTAGACATGTCGGCTACATCCGCATTGAGTAAAAACTTTGACTTTGGGGAAAAGTTTCTGGCCATCCTCCTCGTAAAGAGTATGTTTCTAATGAAAAACCACTTAGCCAGAGACAAAGAAGTCCACTTACCAATGTCACTGCAGATGATGGCAGGACATGCGAGATGAGTGGGATTTCCTGTTCATAAAACGGCTTTAATGTCCCTTCTTGTGAAGGAAGAAGGCTGCGGCTGCACATGCATTTTGTAGCATGCTTAACGATGGCAAAACAGGACATGGCAAGGACATGACCCAAAGTAGGGTCACGTCTAGAGATTTTCAATTTGATGCGCCTACTTAAGGAAATAAATGTCGGATGAAAACTTTGTGCTTCGCAACATGAAAGTGAAACAAGTTAAATAAATCAGATTGAAAGTTGCTTCTACTCTCGGAAAGTTGCTCTTTGCGTGGGTCTCCACTGTACTGGGGCAGTACTGTTTTATTGGCCTACGTGGGCCGGCTCTCGAAGCTGTCACACACATATGTTGATGCAACACATGGCCCATGACACAGCCAACGTGTCGTATGCGTTATGCGACTTTTGTTGCCCTATATTAAACAATTAAGCGGTCGTTTCAATTGGATTTACGAGCAAATTGAGTTGCTATTACATTCCGTTTGACCTTGAATGATTTTAATATAAATTTAATTCGATTCTCATCTGTCGCCGGCATTTCCTTCGTCCTGCGCCTTGGCAACCGTAAAACAAACATCAAAGAGGCGAAAAAGAAATTAAAAACATAAAAAAAACCAGTATGGAAAAACGGAAAAATGTGGCATAAAGCACGGGCTTAATTGCCGGAAAAAGGGTTAATTGCCGGCGTATTTGGTTTGTGCCTGCCAGGAAATACCCGAGAGCCCACTTCGGGGTCCGGACATAAAAAGTTGCGTTAATGGAAAACGGTGAGTGCGTTGGCAGCGAAAAACCGTCTACAATACGGGGCCATAAAAGCTTGAACAATGTACATTATACATACAAAAGTACGAAGGGAATCCCTCCAAAACACAATTGGTAATTTCAATATTTCCGAGGCGGGCACGCTCATCTGCTTATGCAGCCAGGGCTGGCAGAGTGAAATTAATTCAGACAGCTCCTGGGAGCGCTTTAAGCACGAATACTGCCTCATAACATTAGCCATGGGCTGGAGGGAGTAGCGTCTATCCTTGTCTTGATCCCGAGTGCCCTGCAGCCGTCTTTACAAGCGGTTGATGCATTTTTTATGTTGCCAGCATTACGGTTAGAAATTCGTGGCTGTGGTGTAGGCACTGAGCGGAAATAGGGTTTTGAAATAGTTTCTACCATACAAAGTTTTTACAAAGTTTCAACTCGATATTAGCTTTTATTGCCAAGATTTTTTAAAGGTAATTTTTTACTATATAGATCAAATAGTTTTAGTTTCTATATATTTCGTTCTCTGTACTCGAGTATGTGCACTACTTTTATCACTTGTTTGCTTTGCATTTTACGAGCATTTAAATACAATGAGAGCCAAGCGGACAGCTGTTGCATTTTCTTGTTTT